AAGTCTGTTTTTATGCAGAGCATCTGCACAAATTATAATAAATTACAAGCAAAAATAAATAAACAAACACTGCTTTAAGGTTTTACGGTAGATCCTAACAATATTTATGTACAGAAATTGAACAATTAAATGTAAAATAACCCGATCATCTTTGTCTAAATAATTAAATGTAATATACATGTAATGTTTTTTAATCTTTAATAAATAATCTAATCCTGCGCTGTGACTATTGCAGATACACACATTGCTCAATCAACCCTTACCTGAGAAGCATGAAGACTATCATATGTGCAGATGAAGCCCTGGTAAAAACTGAAACAAAGAGAGTATTGGACCTGCAGCGAAAACGAGTTCTGGAAAATAAACACACAAGACTTTAAGAAAAAAATTCAACCCAATCAAAGAGTATCAGTGAATTATTACACAAGCATACCTTTTGCTGTGCAAGCAGAAATTCCTGATATTCTTCCAAAAAGGAAAAACAAGCCAGCAAAGTGGTCACATCCATTCCTTTACACTGACTGGCTTCCAACGTCCAAACCACCAGCTGACAAGCCTCTAACAGGGCATGAGACTCTGAGCTGGACATGGCACAAGGCAACATCCGGAGAGCACGGGCACATTCAGTGAAGCTCTTACTGCATTCACCTCCAGAACTTAACACACACTGCATCTGCACTGCCCGGTCTGCCAGACCCAGAGCCGAACGCAGGCCAACGTGGCCATTAACCTCCTTCAGAGTGCCTCGCAAGAGTTCAACAGCCTCAGGTGAAAAGCTACTTTTGCAGAGCAGTTTAGACACTTTAAATGCCACCTCACACCACACAGCCAGCAGTGAAGAAGTTGATGCAGAGTCCTGAGGATTGATGAAAGCACCAGAGAACAGCTCACGCAATTCAGAGGTCAGAAAACTCACATCGTCTTGAGTAAAACCTCCACATGATCGTTCGTACTCCACTACTGCTTCCTCCACGAACAGAGGAACTTTGGATGGGGAAGAGGACGAGCTGGAGCCCTGTTCAAGGAGTCTGAATGTTAAAGCTTGCAGCTGACAGTGGAGTCTGTCTCGTGGAGGGAGGGTGGAAGCACTCGGTTTGTTAGAGAGGAGACTGTTCCACAAGACTGCAAAGCAATTCCGCACCAGGACATTAAAGTCATCAATCTATCGAAAAAAAGAACAAAAACAGGTGAATATTGAAATATAGATACATTTTAATACTTATCAACAAACTTGTTTGGGGTGTAAAAATATAAATTTCTTTTTAATTAATACTTTTTAAAAACAAGAATACACTAAATCAAAAAATTAAGTTTTTTAAGCACTAAAATCAACATTACACATACACAGTATGAGGTCAGCATATCAGTTTCAGCAAAAAGACTTATATGTGATCTTAGGGCTATAGGCCTGTTAGGAAACTTGGTTTAAAAAAAATAACCCATATTATGGATTGTTCCATCAGTTAAAAATTCAGATGGATGGTGCTGGTTATGAAGGACAAGACTGGTTTCCACATGGCAGGCGCACTTAAGAAGAGTTTAAACTAGAAGAAAGTCATCATGTCAACAGTGTAGGAATTTTTCATACTGGGGAAAAAAAACAAGAAGACTTTCATTATCTATTATTTTACGTTATTTTATTTGAAAATAATTGCCTCCTGGGTAACCAAACATTCATGACCACTTTAGTTTATACCCTTATTATACATTTAGTTACTTTTTACTTTAACTGACAAAAATGACTACAGTTTTATTGTTTTCATCAACTAATAATATATTTTACACCAAAATCCTCAACAAATACTAAGTAGCAAATACATTAAACCTAAATATAATAAAATACATTAATTTGACTGAAAAAAAATAAATAAACAAATGTCTATTTTTAATTCTTACAGAATGCCAAAGGTTTCAAATCATGTAAAAGAGATGTAATTACAACAAATGTAAATACATAATCAACAATTTTTTTGTAATCTTTATTATTATATCAAAAGCAAGCAAAATATACTACACTATACTACAAAAGACTATACAACTGAAGTACTTTTTGATAGATTGTATAAAGATTTACAGTTTTTTTGGTATTTATTAAAAAATTTGATAATAATAATAAGTATTTATTAAGTACTTTTTAATCATAATTAATAATAATAATAAAGAAACAGTTGAAAACTCATCTTTTCCATGTGCACTTACTTGAAATCAGAAATATTCTCAGCGCTTTTAATTTTGTTAATTCCCTCCCTGCACTATTCGAAAGGAAATATTGTAAAAAGTTTGTATGACTAATGCTTCTAAAGTGTATTTGCCCATTTACGATGAGTGTCTTCCATCAACTAACTGTGTAAAAATACATAAAAGCATCTTTTAAGTGAATAAATGTAGATGTAAAAGTACTGTACCTCTGCAGACAAACATTTCAGTCTTCTATACACGAGCTGACCCAGTCGACAAGCAGGACCATGAGCTCCAAGGCTTGCGACTTTCTGTAGGATGTGAAAGACTATTTTCTCCAGATAAAAGGGGGTGCTCTGCATGCCGGACTCTTCAAGCAGTTGAAACCCTTGGACAGCCAGTTCCACCAGCTCCACTATCCGCTCCTGAAGGCCAGCATCCACAGCGCCGTTGCCCAGCCGCTGGTTGCAGGCTCTGATGATACGATCACACATTGTGCGACCATAAGGACCCAAGCCACCATCCACATGTTTCTACAGCAAAAGTCATAAAATAAACGCTTCAGCATTGTGCACGGTACACGAAATAAACACTCTAACGTGAACATACAAAATCTGGTTTACCTTCAGTTCGTTGTGGAGGACTATGGTGTCCTTGACACAGGATAACTGCTGAACGTAATCTTCTGTTTTCAAGCTCTTTAATGCCATTATTGTTGTATCTGCAACTCAAAACAATATGCTTATTTATGTATTTGAATGACTATTTTAGGCTGAACGGCAAGACTTTATACTACGTTTTTGGTCATTCCTTGTGTTGTCTTGTAAGTTTTGACATGAGATTAAACTAGCAAGTTAGCAAGCTAACGCTGACTGCAAATCATGTAAACAAATCCAACAAACCTGTTAGCCTGTCAGCTACCGCGCTCGGTTAAACGGTCAGATACTGAGAAAAGGACACTCTTTTTGAGTGTTATGAAATATAGCGTTTCTCAACATGTATACAAAAGTGAAATTGTCTTATTTTTCTACTGGAGTGTCGCCGTTATTTGGATGACAGCAGCGGTAGGAAAGCGAAGCCGCGCACATATTTAAATACTGCAAAGCCTATCGGGAAACCGCGGAAACGTCTCGGAAGAGGAAATACACCATATGGCACGGGTAATGTAGTTTTTTTACTTTCTGAGACACAGTTGTAGTCGTCTTTTTTACTGATTTCACTGACAGAAAAAATCTTAGTTTTTAAAAATAAAATATGAAATGGCGACGCAGTGGCACAGTAGGTAGTGCTGTCGCATTACAGCAAGAAGGTCGCTGGTTCGAACCTCGCCTCTCCCTCGGTTCTCCCTGCGGTTGCCTCTGGGTGCTCTGGTTTCTTCCAAAGACATGTGGTACAGGTGAATTGGGTAGGCTAAATTGTTCGTAGAGTACGAGTGTGTGTATGAATGAGTGTGTGGATGTTTCCCAGAGATGGGTTGTGGCTGGAAGGGCATCCGCTGCGTAAAAACGTGCTGGATAAGTTGGTGGTTCATTCCGCTGTGGCGACCCCGGATTAATAAAGGGACTAAGCCGACAAGAAAATGAATGAATGAATAAAATCTGTAATCTCATTTAAACAGATGGCTTTTAAATATATTCACATACATTGCATGCATACACAACACTTGTGTAAAGTTTTAATTTTGCTGTTTTAAAGTAAAACATGTAAAAACAATACAGCATACAAAATTTGCATTAGAAATGCACTTTTATTATTATTTATTATTTTTATAACCAAGCCCAAGCAAAATTCAAAAGACAACTGATTTAAATGAACTGAAATATTGATAATAAAGAAAGATTAAAAGAAATATACAATATACATTTTTTAAATTAGTTTTAAACGCACATTTATTATTCAAAATCTTTCATCAAGTCCAAACACAAAAAATAAATAAAAATATACCTTTTTTTTTTTATTAAACATGAGATAAAATAACAACATAAAACACTTAGCAGTAAAGCTAAACAGGTATCAGGTTCATGCCATGAAAGGTTAATTTGCCATACCTTCTGGAATATACCGTACATTTATAGAAAGTTATTTTGGATTACACAGTAAAATAAGCTGTCTAGTTAACATTCAGGTTTTCTTCTGCTACATAAGACATATAAAAAAATCAATTTTGATTCTATTGTTGAAAAAATATAAGATAAATGTGCATGATAAAAAGTGAAACATAATTTTTGTGCTTTCTAATTGAAGGATGACTGTGTGTGATTTATATTGTCAAAGTATATGTGGAAATTCCATAAAACTTGTTCCACAAATAACGTTAAACAGTCCTTATTTAAATCAAATAAAAACAAAGGAAGTTCTTAAATTGTTTAATGGGTTAAAAAATGCCAACATGTTTGGATGACATTGTTCAGTTTTACAGCTGGTTCCACAGCTCTATTTAGTCACAACAGAATCGCTTTGTGTTCTGCAACAGTTGAATTAACGTTGAATATATCACACTATTTATAAACTTCCTGTTCCTTATCACAATGTTTTTATGGTTAGCCTAGACCAGTGGTTCTCAAACTTTTTTCACCAAGTACCACCTCAGAAAAAATAGTCTCTCCAAGTACCACCATAATGACTGCTATTGAAATACACAGTAGGCCTACCGTAATTAAGCGGCTACAGCTCTGCACAGTTCACAAACATGGCAGATTAATTCCTACTATTATGAATATTTATTATTGTCAGCCTCTTTAACATAATAAGTAGTTTGAAAAATAACACACATCTAAAATAAAAAAAGATAAATAAAACGTCAACGTTTAAATTAAAATGTGATTTTAAAAGTTAATTAATAAAGGCACTGTTTTTAAAAAGTAAAAAAAAACTGCTGTGCTCAAATGTAAAGTATCATAAAGCAGCCCATTCATCAAAACCTGCAAATGTATTCTGGGGATCTCATAAATATAGGTTATACTGTACCGTATGTCATAATATTCATAAAACTCTGTTTGATAAATTTTGAAATATACACTGCATGTATATATGACTTATTTGTTTATCTTTAAAAATCTGAATGTTAACTTGTATTTTAAATATATGAATTGGATTTACATATTTAAATTAGATCTGCTTACTGCTCGTTAGAGTTGGCTATATGTGTCCCAGAAGCAAGTTATGAAACTTATACCTGTCAACATTGGGATATAAAAATATGAGATACGTCCCCAACAACCGTTACAAGTATAGGGAGGAAAATAACTTCAAATGATAGAATACATAACAAACATTAGAAAAATGAAAATAAATAAAATGTTTAGCCTATTAAAATCAATTTCCTGATCACATCGTTGTTATCGTACGCGTCAAAGGGTTAAAAGTGTGTTACATTTTTTACTTGAATTATACAGCGTTTCCTCTATGTAACACTAAAAGGAAGCCTGCATACCACTTGTGAAACATGTACCACAGTTTGAGAACCACTGGCCTAGACTATACATTTTGAACACAGTTTCAAGCTGCACAGTGTGAAATGTCTAAAAGAAAAAAGTGAAAAGAAACATGAAACTACAATAGCAAACTCCCAGAACTCTGCTCTGTCTTTAAATTTATGCTTCGTTTTGCATATGCAAAGGGTTCATCACTGTTGTCGTGGCACCTTTGAAAAGAGGATTCTGGGCCTGAATAAAACAGAGAGACACAGGATTTTTAAACAGCCAATCTGTACTTCATTTATTTTATATTTATTTAATCATTTATAATATATGAATAGATATATTATAACAAGTATAATGTGCTCCACATTTAAAGTTAACAACGCTGTATGCCTGTACATCACCTCTTTCCACTGCGTCTGATTCTGCATTTTGACGAAGCTCTGATATTCTCTATAGTCGTACAGCTCCAGGAGGAGACGGTAAATAATGATTATTATAATGCCAGTTATAATGATTCCAGACACAGAGCTGCCGATGATAACTGCAGTCTTATCAACAGTATCTACAGAGACAAATAAAAAAAACTGTTACCATTCACATTCAACATTGCTTGAAATTTTGCTGTTAATTTAATCATCCTCATTCCACTTGTTTTGTAACTTTTTTCCTCATTAGAACATTAAAGAAGATTTTTAGCTGAAACTGTGGTCCTTGGTTATTTAGATCATGTCAACAGTTGAGCTACCAGCACTTTAACAGTCAAAAAACTCATGGACAGGCAAAGCAAAATGAAGTCCTGAAATCTTATGAAATGAAATAAAACAGTTAGCGCAAGAAGCTGATTTATTTACAGTGTTTTACCTTTAACAAATAGCCTCTGCAAATGGTCCAGAATGCATATGCAACGCTCTGGAGCACAAGCTCAAAGAATCAACCGTAATATATTTAAGACTCACCAGTATTATCAATGTTTTGCCTATATTAATTGTCTATTCATTATCAAAGTGGTAGACATTAACTAGCATTTTATGAATCACTAAGGGCCACCCCATATAGAAAAATGATACGTAGAAATGTGTGCAAATGACATATACGAGTCAAGTTAATAATTTTACATACATAAATAAACCATATGTGATATATGAAACATATTTTGAAATATTGAAAATAAATTGTGGTGTCACGGTGGCGCAGCACGATCGCCTCACAGCAAGAGGGTCGCTGATTCGAGTCAGTTGGCATTTTCTGTGTGGAGTTTGCATGTTCTCCATGTGTTGGTGTGGGTTTTCTCCACAAGTCCAAAGACATGCATTATGGTGAATTGGGTAGTAAATTGTTCGTAGTGTATGTGTCTGAATGGGAATGTATGGGTGTTTCCCTGTACTGGGTTGCGGCTGGAAGGGCATCGGCTGCATAATAACATGTGCTGAATAAGTTGACGGTTCATCCGCTGTGGCGACCCCTGATTAATGAAGGGACTAAGCCGAAAAGAAAATGTATTTACATGTATATGCTGTATATACGTGTGTCTGTGTGAGTTCATATGGCCAAATATTAACACACATATATATATATATATATATATATATATATATATATATATATATAATTATAGTTAATATATTTATCATATATGCATATTTGTAATTACAATGGTTGAAAAATACATATGTTAGTGGCCATTTTTGCAGGATTTTAATATGTTATATATAAGACATACATTTTAAATATGTGAAATCCAAAAGACCTTTACTCAAGAATATATATTTTTATTTTTAAGCTGAAACGACACAATTGTTGAGTTTTTTGGGGGGACATCTTAATTGTTTTATGTTCAATCTACTTAATTTTGCTAAAACAATTTTGTCAATATAATAGATTTGTGTTGGGACAACATGAGTGAATAGTGTAGAACCCAGAATGTTTTACAGTGTTGGAACTTGTATGACATTTATGCAATTTGCATAAATTTCCATATACATATGTATCAAATTTCTACATGGCTTCTATGTAATTTTCTTTAATAATACACATTAGAAAAGAACTAATTCATCATGGTTGGCCTGAGGATGAGTAAATTATTGGTATATTTTCCTTTTTTATTTACATTTAGGATCTAAACAAAGTTAAGGTAAACCGTTAAGGCATTCATACTTACGAGGCAGGTCTGCATATTTAACATTAACTTCGCCACTGGCCTTAAGCTCCACACTGTATGAAACGTGTTTATATATGCAAGACAATTCATGAGTGCCTTCAAGATGTTTTACTGTAGCATTGAAACATCTCTCATGACAGGAGCCGCTACCTTCCAAATGACATGCCAAACAGTCCCTGCAGAGACGAGAAGTATTATACATACATGCAAGCTTGAGTCAGACATTTTGATACAAAGAATAAATGTCTAGTACATTACATTCAAGGACTTTTATCAGTCGAGCATTCCCTGCGAATCAAACCCATGACCTTGATGTTGTTAGAAATCGAATGATAATAAAAATAATGAGTAAATAAAAAATAATAATGACAAAAAAATGGAATTAAATGAATTTCCCCAATTTGTTCTGCTCTCACTTTATGAGGTACGCCTTACTAGTACCGGGTTGGACCCCCTTTTGCCTTCAGAATTGCCTTAATTGCCTTTTTGACATAGATTCAACAAGGTACTGGAAATATTCGTCAGAGATTTTCTATATTGACATGATAGCATCACACAGTGTCTGCAGATTTCCTGTTCCATCATATTTCACTGTGGGCATAAAGGAATGGACATGCTGAGCAACAATACTCAGGTAGGCTGTGGCGTTGACACGATGCTCAATTGGTACTAATGCACCCAAAGTGTGCCAAGAAAATGTCCCCCACACCATTACACCACCACCATCAGCCTGAACCATTGGTACAAGGCTGGATGGAGCCATGCTTTCATGTTGTTGACGCCAAATTCTGACCCTACCATCCAAATTGTGCAGCAGAAATAGAGGCTCATGAGACCAGGCAACGTTTTTCCAATCTTCTATTGTCCAATTTTAGTGAGCCTGTGCCAATTGTGACCTCAGTTTGCTGTTCTTTGCTGACAGGAGTGGCACCCGGTGTGGTCTTCTGCTGCTGTAGCCCATCTGCCTCAAAGTTTAACCTCAGTTGTAACAAGTGGTTATTTGAGTTACTGTTGCCTTTCTATCAATGCGAATCAGTCTGGCCATTTTCCTTTTGCCTCTGGCATCAACAAGGCATTTGCGCCCACAGAACTGCCGCTCACTGGATATTTTCGGACCATTTTTGTAAACCCTAGAGATGGTTGTACGTGAAAATCCCAATAGATCAGCATTTTCTGAAACACTCAAACCAGCCTGTCTGGCACCAACAACCATGCCACAATCAAAGTCACTTAAATCATCTTTCTTCCTCATTCTGATGCTCAGTTTTGACTGCAGCAAATCGTCTTGACCATGTCTACATGCCTAAATGTATTCAGTTACTGCCATGTGATTAGCTGATTAAAATTTGTGTTAACAAGCAGTTAAACAAGTGTACCTAATAAAGTGGCCAGTGAGTGTATAGTTTTATGTCTAGTAAAAATAATATACGCATGGTCACTGGCCAATGGTGTTTTTATTAATTTAACCTGTCATCATTTAAAAACATGAAGTTACATGATTGAAAACCACATTTCCTTGATAACCACCTGAAATATAATAAGCCATCATTATTTTTATTTTAGTTACCTTATTATTTTAGTTATCCATGCTTTTAGTTTTGTGGTTTTATTTTTTGTATTACTTAACAAGAATAAAATTGTAAAGTGTTGTAATACGTTGCATAATAAGCTTAAATGAGGACCAGACATTATTTCAGAATTGAGGCTTACTGTATGAACAACAGAAAACATGCAGAGGAAACAGCCGTTGTGGTTTAAAGAAACAAACCCACACACAAAAAATCTTGAACTAGATATCAGAAGACAGGAAGAGACAAAAAACTCACTTGAACAGCTCGCAAGCGTCCATGAAAGCAGAGCAGTAATCTCCAATGACGCCTGGTTTACAATGACAGCGGTTGCAAACACATTCCCCTTGACCACTGCAAAGGCCCCAATCATTCTTACACTTGTCTTGGCTAGGTGAGCACTCGCACGCGGAACCCGTATATCGGTCTCTACATTCACATTTACCACACTCGCATTTGCCTTTACCTGCAACAAACAAACAAATAGAGAAATCTATTAGATCTGTGAGTTGTAAAAAATGACCTGTTTACTCCACCATCAAGCAATCCTTGGTCAGTGTACGCTCAAAAAAATTAATTTTGTTGCTTGTTCAAACTACATATTTAAAATGAGCTGAAACAACACAATTCTTTTTTTTTTTTTTTTTTAGATTGTTCAAGACAACTTAAACTCACAGGCCACTTTATTAGGTACACTTGTCCAACTGCAAGTTTCTAATCAGCCAATCACATGGCAGCAACTCAATGCATTTAGGCATGTTGACATGGTCAAGATGATCTGCTGCAGTTCAAACCGAGCATTAGATGGAGAAGAATGGTGATTTAAGTGACTTTGAATGTGGCATGGTTGTTGGTGCCAGACAGGCTGGTCTGAGTATTTCAGAAACTGCTGATCTACTGGGATTTTCATGCACAACTATATCTAGGGTTTACAAAGAATGGTTTGAAAAAGAGAAAATATCCAGTGAGCGGCAGTTCTGTGGATGCAAATGCCTTGTTGATGCTAGAGGTCAGAGGAGAATGGCCAGACTGGTTCGAGCTGATAGAAAGGCAACAGTAACTCAAATAACCACTCGTTACAACAAATGTAGGCAGAAGAGCAACTTTGCATGCACAACATGTCCAACCTTGAGGCGGATAGGCTACAGCAGCAGAAGACCACACCGGGTGCCACTCCTGTCTGTCCTCCTGAGGCTACAATTGGCATAGGCTTATCAAAATTGCACAGTAAAAGATTGGAAAAACGTTGCCTGGTTTGATGAGTCTTGATTTCTGCTGCAACTTTTGCACAGTAGGGTCAGAATTTGGCGTCAACAACATGAAAGCATGGATCCATCCTGCCTTGCAAAAAACGGTTCAAGCTGGTGGTGGTAGTGGTGGATATTATTTTATTTTCTTGGCACACTTTGCACCCCTTAGTACCAATTGAGCATCGTGTAAACGCCACAGCCTAGCTGAGTATTGTTGCTGACCGTGTCCATCTGTTTATGACCACAGTGTACCCATCTTCTCATGGCTACTTCCAGCAGGATAACGTGCCATGCCATAAAGCGTGAATCATCTCAGACTGGCTTCTTGAACATGACAATGAGTTCACTGTACTCAAATGTCCTCCACAGTCACCAGATCTCAATCCATTAGAGCATCTTTGGGATGTGGTGGAACGGGAGATTCGCATCATGGATTTGCAGCCGACAAATCTGCAGCAACTGTTTGTTGCTATCATGTCAATATGGACCAAAATCTCTAAGGAATGTTTTCAGTACTTTGTTTAATTTATGTCATGAAGGATTAAGGCAGTTCTGAAGGCATAAGGGGGGGTCCAACCTAGTACTAGTAAGGTGTACCAACTAAAATGGCTGGTGATCGTTTTGTTTCATTTTCAATCCACTGAAATTTGTTAAGATAACTTAATCGATTTGTGTTGGGAAAGCATGAATTAATTTTGTGAAACCCTTTATTTTTTAGTGTATATGACTTGCTTTTGTAAGACGAACACAGTCGAACGTGTTTTTTTATTTTATGCTAATGATGTTGTATAGTGGCCATTTTTTGAAGCATTCAAAAGTGCATAAATCTGTTGAAAAATGAAACCATGTGTCGTCTTTGGGTTAACAGGTCTTATGAAGCGGATCGATGTGTTTGTTTATGAAAAAAATGTTAAAACCTTTAATTTTTTTAACTTAAAATCAATGACTTTTGGCTGCTGCCGAATGCACACTCAACAACTTCTTGGCTGACCTGTGACTCGCAAGACACATTCGTAGTAAAAGCACCAGTAGTATTTCAGACTTATGTGCTCAAGAGCTAGTGATGGGATAGGGTTAAGGGAGGGGTTAGGTGTACACATTAAAAACACCCGGTCTGAACGCCGATGAGAGTAGAAAAACAAGAAGAAAAATGTCACTGTAAATTCATTGTTCTTCATTTTCTGTGGTAAACAAACTGTGGTAACAAACTATTATGCAATGGACGCATCGACTGTATGTCTGACTGTGAGCTCAGCCAAGAAGTTTTCAGAACAGATATTGGGCGGCTGCTGGAAGTTAGTAACTTGAGTTTATAATTTAAAAAAAATAGAAATATATTTGTAAAAACATCAATCTGCTTTGTCAAGTCAACTCCCGGTGTCATATGAACTGTAAAAAAATGCTGGGTTCCACACAATTGCTTCACATTGTCCCAATACAAATTGATTAATTTAACTGAATTGTTTTTGCAAATTTAAGTGGATTGACCATAAAACAATTAAGTTGACCCTAAAAAAACTCAAGAATTGTGTTGATTCATCTCATTTTAAATAAGTGTGAACAAGCAGCAAAAATATTTTCATGAGTGTGTGTTAGTTTTATCCCAGATCTGTGCCTTGGAAGCCTAAAAAAGGGCCAATACTTAACACTATTATACATCATGCAAAAGCCTTGATGAATTTTCAAACTACACCAAAAAGTCATATCCACTCACGATGGCTTGATGAGTATTCATTATTAACTTTATTTTTGGGTAAATAATTCCTTTTTGATGCCAAAACGTAAAGAAACAAACACATCAAGACAAAATCTTTACACCGCTCACTACTGTACGTACCATTGCATCTCACTCCATTGCGTTTTTCACAGCTGTCAGGATCACACTCACAGTATTTTCCGCTGTACTCGTTTCTACACACACAATTGCCACATTCACAGGATCCTTGGCCACTGCAAACAAGTGATCTGTTGTTGGGCCGGCAGGAATCCAGCATTTTGATGGTATCGTTCTGTTGCACGCAACTGCAGTTCTGACCCAAGTACCCTTCGTCACAGCTAACACACACACACACACACACAAAACATAGTACTGAGTCAAACATTAAGTAAGTCATGTTGTAACGATCATGCACGATGTAGACAGAATCAGGGGTGGATTTAGTGATCTGGGAGTCCTAAGCATATATCTGCCTGCCTGCCTGTCTGTCCATCCGTCTATCTGTCTGACTGTCTGTCTTCTGTCTGTCTGTCTGTCTGTCTGTCTGTCTGTCTGTCTGTCTGTCTGTCTGTCTGTCTGTCTGTCTGTCTATCTATCTATCTATCTATCTATCTATCTGTATATGTCCGTCCGTCCATCCATCCATCCATCCATCCATCCATCCGTCTGTCTGTCTGTCTGTCAGTCTGTCCTTCTATCACTCAATCTTGTTTTAAATGTTTTAAATGAATTAATTTCATCATTCTTGTTTTCTTTTTAAAACTAAATATTTACCTGATTTGACTGCTGGACTGATCTATGATTGAGAGGAGGGCGATGCATGGATGTAATAATTACATAATTTTATTTTTTAGACCCTCAAAATAGAAAATATGATGACTACTATGTTAAATAGTATTTGCATTCGAAAAACAACGTGTACAAATAGCAAAACACCATGGATTACCTGCCATACCCAGTCTCTTGCTCAAAATCCTTAGTTCATCTCTCAAATCTTAATTTCTGTGTCAGTGAATGTGTCCGTGCGGTCAGAATGACAAATCCATGTGTCATTGTATGTGTCACATTACTTAGTTGTGTTGTCAATATAACAGTGTGCTCTGGAGGAGTGTTCTGATGTAAACTATGGCAAATTTAACTTGTTCAGCCATTTTGCATGTAAAGACTTATGCTATGAACAAATGATTCAATGTTGTAGGAGGTGAAACTATTTAACAGAAACCAAAATAATCAACTTCGATCAACATGGCATAAACAATTGATAATGTAGGAAACATCAGAGAATTGCACATAATCATTTGCATGGATGTACAAAAGCATTAGAAAGTTGTTCAAAGGAATAAGAAACTGCTTTTTATATGTGCACAAGTGATGCAATAATCTGAAGGTTTAACAAATAGCTTTGAGAATTTCAATTCTGATCTGAGAAATGGACCAAAGCGACTGAGAAAAACAGTAAATGAAAATGGGTGATGTAGTTGTGTGTTCTGAGACACTAGGGGGCTCTACCTGCACATGCCACATGACAGATCTCCTTTATGGTTGCAGTGTTCAGAAGACTTTTCTGCAGCTCCACAGTCACACTGACACTCGGTATCCACTGTAATCTTCACCTCCTCACTGATGCCTTGCATTTTGATCCGGAATATCTGAGGCTCCTTCAGACATGCTGTTGCATTCAAACGTACTTGGAACGTTATCTATAAAGCCGCAAGAAAAACAGAACTTCTTCATTCTTATCAGATGCAACATATGTTTTCTGGTATCTGATAATTCAGATGGTGTCACTGGTGGAGGTGCTCACCTTCTCATGCTTGATGCCTTGACATTCTCCTTTTTCCCTCCATTCATTGGCCGCCTGATTGTCTTTACATTTCGACCTGTAGGACACCATCAGTTCTGCTGGAGCTCCTTCCTGCTCCAACACCAGTGTAGACGACAAGTTCTGGCCCACAGATTCAAACATATTCAGTGTGACAATATGGGGATTTTAAGCATCAAACCAGAAGTGAAAACTGTGTTTACTAGTTGTATTAATTCGCTAAGAACTACGATACATTTTTACAAGAATTTTTAAAAGACACTCCCTAAAATGATTCAGAATTACAATAGATTATGTACTCCAACATCTTGTCAGGCATATTTAGAACAAGAATCATTTGATGACGTATTAAAAGACTCTCTTGCAGCGTCAAAATATTCATTAACTGCCATTTTTAATATTCATACTTTGCCATTAACCTTCCAACCACTAGATTTACTTCTTTTTTAACTTTCTTTGTTGTCCACAAGTGAAAATTTATCACAGAAAAAAACAGGCAACACAAACATATTCAATGTCATCACATAAATCACATTAAAAATTTCAATTTACAACCCTATACATACTTAAAACGTGCAGCATTTAAAATTCTAATGGCAGTCAGCACAAAGGACATTTGATACATATTTTTCCTTACATGAGGTTGTCGTAAAACGTCTTTTTGATGGTAGGAAATTTTATATTTAAGTGAAGGGAACAATCTTCAATAATGCCATGTGCTTTCTGTTTAATTCTCATTGAATACATTTCATTTCAAGAGTTCGCCCTTAACTAATGAATTATTATAAAGCTTGTTTGGCATGCTGTCCCGGGAGAGAGCCCTGAACTCGTGAGATCCTCGTGCCCGGGGCTCCCCCCGTTTCAGGCCGAGAGGGAAGTCCGAGTTCAGGTAGGTCTCGAGTGTTCCCCTGCTAATAATGTTGGAAGTAGAATAAAATGCTATGAAGTGTCTATGCTGTCAATTTAGATTTGTCAATTTACTTATGTTACATGTTTTTGGTCTGTGGGAGGAAACCGGAGAGCCCGGTGAAAACCCAAGCAAACACGAGGAGAACATGTGAACTCCACACAGAAATGCCATACGAGTCCAGAGTCCGAGCCGGTGGCATTCTTGCTGTGCGACCGTGGTGCTAACCACTAGGCTTCCGTGCTGCCCTGACTAGGAAATGGGAGGAGTAGGGGTGGAAGGGGGGGTTCTTCAAGATGAAGATGGTTGAGGTAATATACTCTGGTTATTTATAGTGGTTAAGGAGTCGTCTGATTGGTGAATCAGCGTTAGCTAATGTGGACCAGGTGCTATCAATCATAAGCGCGTGCTCCTCTCGAAATTAGTTTATAAACAAACTTCACTTGGTTGTCTGCTTTACCTACAATTGAACTGGCAATTTTTACTACTCAACAATTTTTGCTTTTCCTTAATTGGCAACTGTCCATACCATGCAATTATGTTAAAACTCATAACATTTCAACCAAGTTCTTATACACCATCTCCAGAAAATCTTGACTCACACCAAATTGTTTAAACCTCCTAATGAGATAAAATCTCTGCATTGCTTCTTTTAGATGCACTCTGCCTTTGCAGCAAATGTCAATCCACTGTCAATAAATGTTCCCAAATATTTAAAACATCCAACGGTCTCTATTTCATGTCCCTCAAGGACCAGAGGTTTCAACCCTTGACTAAGAACTAGTTTGTTTCAACTAATTATCATCTCCTTGGTTTTATTAAAACTGATCTCCAGTGAACCCCTTTTACACCACATTTAAAGCAAATTTATATAACTATAGTACAAGGTATCTCCTTCTGTTCCTGTTTTAGTCAACCGACCAACAAGTGCCATATCAAATGCATATTTAAATAACTTAAAACCTAAATCCTAAATCTCAAGTTCATTTGTTCAATTTTGGGCAAGACGTTTTAATAATTTAAATAATTTAAAATACAGTATAATCAAATCTAGCATAATCACTTTCTTTAAAATTTTTTTTAATAAGTTTGTGTTTTTTAAAATAAATATATGTTGCACTGAACATCCATGGATTGTCTTTTTAACCATATTTTGACTTTTTTTCTGAAATTATTGAAGAATCAAAGTAGACCCGTTATTAAATTTAATGTCTATACAATCGCCTACATTTAATTTCATGTGGATGCCAAATTGGGATGTTTTGGGAAATTCTTATAAATAACAGTTTTTTTAACTAGCCTTAGCCTAATTACTAATTAAAGACTTTAAAGCAGGGGTCACCAATCTCGCTCCTGGAGGGCCGGTGTCCCTGCAGGGTTTAGCTCCAACTTGCCTCAACACACCTGCCTGAATGTTTCAAGTTTACCTAGTAAGACCTTGATTAGCTTGTTCAGGTGTGTTTGATTAGGGTTGAAGCTAAAATCTGCAGGACACCGGCCCTCCAGGAACAAGTTTGGTGACCTCTGCTTTAAAGTGTTAAAATGCCATTGTGTGGTAAAAAAACATTGTAAAAAGTGATCAGGTATTTTTTGCATAATGGTCACTAATTTTTATTCCCCTTGCAAGCTATAAACCCTAAATCAGAAAAAGTTGGGACAGTATAAAAAACGCAAATAAAAAAGAGGATACAGGTGTTTTAGTGGCCTGCCTGCAGTACTGACCTGTCTCCAATGGAGAATGTGTGGCGTATTTTGAAAGGCAAAATGTAACAACGAAGACCATGTACTGTTGCCCACCTTAAAACTTGCATTTGAAGAAAATGAGACAAAACTACACATGAAACACTTCATCACTTGGTGTCATAAGTGTTGTGAAAAGCAATGGCAACATTACAAAGTGGTAAATTCTTTACTGTTGCATGAATACGTGTTTAAGGAACACATTAAAAAATGTTTGATGTATTGTCTGCAATGAAATACAAGTCAAAGTAAATTTAGAAATCACTACTTTCTTTTTTTATTTATGTTTTCTATACTGTCTCAACCATAATGTCCCAACTTTACATTGTGTACATTTACACTCTCTTACATGCAGTCTCTTTCTTCTCATGTAGCAAGATCACCTACATTTTATTTATTGATTTGATACATACGGTATCAAAGTAAAAATGTAGGTCATTTAATAAGGTCAAACACAGAGTTTCAGTACATTTAGTATTGGATTAACCATTATGCAGAACTGGGAAAAAGCTGTCGTTTTTGTACTTAAAGCCACTTGTAATTACTGCTAGTCTAAGTGGGAAGTGCACAAGTCACTGCACAGGTTCAAAATGCTGGAAAGGACATTAATTAAGCACTCACCCCGTAGGCCTCAGAGATGAGATCAACCACATTACTGGAGTCTTTCTTCAATACACCAACCACTGACTGAGGAATCAATGCACTCAACGCCTGTGAAAGATATACATTAAATATATGTCTGAGAGAGAAAAGTTATATTTTAACGATTAAACACATTTTAATATCTAAGTGTTTATAAAATCTCAAAACATTGTGGTCAGTAAAAAAATGTTTCTGGGTTTAATGCCAGGTTTAATACAATAAATGTATCTTTTTTTTCTCTGAGCTTTATTTCATGTTAGGCATGGTCCTTCAGAAATTCACTGATAAAAAATATGCTGGTTTGGAGGTCAAGACACAAGACAATTGTCCTAAATATAAAGTGTATTATTATATACTAAATAAGTCAATTGAAATGATTTAATTTATCCCATTTAAATATGTGATAGTCACCTTTATCCAATTAACGCATCATTGCTGAGTAAACATTTTCCTTCACTGAACAATTATTTTTGAAAAACAGCTTAAAACCCTAGCTTTAAATTGGTAGTATATAAATTGTTCTCTCAAACCTTATATGCAGGATAGATTTCCTCAGTGACAGCAAATATGAGCTGAATATTGTTATCCTGCAGAACTCTAGACACATGACCCACTGATGGGTAATCCTGCAGAAAAATGTCAAATAAAAGAAATAATCAATTAATTTAAATGTTTTTCTTTTTTTTTTTTATTCAGTCACTCATTTAGTATTTATATATAAACAATCCTACTTCAATTCCTCATAAGCCTCAATTCTCTGGGAGTTTAAATGACAGGTAAGCTAACCAAATTTAGTGGCAATTTTATATGCCCCCATTTCTCCAACATATAAACCACACAGTACCATTGGTGGACTTAAACTTAAAGGACTGAAGAACTGGAACTGTTTTTTTCAAATTAGGCTCATTTTACAACTATTTAACCAAAATTTACAACTTTTAGCTTAGCATAGATCACTGAATCCTATTTAAAGGGAAGGTTCACCCAAAAATGAAAATTCTGTCATCATTTACACACCCTTTACTTGTTTTTAAGGCTTTGTGATTTTCCTTTCTCTGTTAAACTCGAACGAAGATATTTTGAAAAATACTGGAAACCAGTGACCATTGACTTCCATAGTTTTAATTTACTCTCATTCTGGCATAATAATCAAAAAGCTTTGCTGCTATACTATGCCTATAGCAAGCTCAGTGCCTGAAAATTGGCCAACTTCGGTATATCAATATGACCAATGTGACCACCTGTTTGCACAGGAAGCATGCCTTGAAACAATGTAGACATGGTGAGAGATGATTCAGAACATATTTACTTTGGTGCAGAAAAGTTACCTGATTTTCAGGCACTGCGTAATGTCATAGCGCCTGCTGCAACCGTGATACAGCAGCAAAGTCATAACACCAGAATGAAAACTTAGTTCCTAGCCTTATCGGCCTAAGAAGTTTTAGATCATAAAAATTCTGATTGAATATTGGACATTTTTGAGTGAGATGCTAATGGTCCAATCCGATTCAATGATCTATGCTAAGCTAAGCTAAAAGTTCCCCCGCCATCTTTACGGAGATTAGCTGAATGGATTTAAAAACGGTAAAACCCAGCTGTTTAACTCCTGGTGACTTGTAAAGTCTAGCCTATTTTCATAAAAAGAGTTCCTTTAAAAACTAACAAGTTGCTCTTATTGGACTAATAATACAGAGAGCACGTAGCCAGACAGCCTGAGGAAAATACAAAATTTATATCTTATCATAAAAATCCACTTTAGAAAGGCCAAGACATCATAAAGAAGTATTTTAAGTTCTTTCTGCAGTTATCATTGGTGTTTTGATTGGCCTAGGATCATGCGAAGGGACAATTGTTTGTTTCTTTTGCAATTGGAAATGCATGAAAAATCATTAAATGCACATTACTCACATAGGCTTTTCCAATGTAAGAACCCATATCATTAAAATGACACTGTCCATTATGTGGCAGAAAAGCGCCACCTAGTCGTCCGTCTCCTGCCATGTGAAAGGTGTCATCAGATGTGTACACCAAAATCCGTGTCACATTACCCCATTTGATCTTATCCTGTCATTTAATAGGGAAAATCAGCCTTGTTATATATTTTGACTCTTTGATACGCTGCTGAAATGCACTTTTTTTCATGTCATCCTGGGTCTTACCTTACAGACGGCAGCCTGCATTATAGCATCCAGACCAGCCTCAGGAGAGTCCAGGTTGCCAGAGATGTTCTGTTTACTCACCTCCCGTTCAAACTCTCTGCCATCACTCGTCAGTGGCAGGACATTCTGGAACATGAACGCTTTCTGGCAAGTGTTTATGCGATTGGGACAGGGGTTCTTACGTCTCGGTGGCAGCTGACTGACATACGGCAACATCTCCTTATCAACAAAAGACCCGAAACCTGAAAGTGGAGAAAGGTGTAAGCAAGAATAACTCAAATATAGTTCTGATTAAATTACTGCAGGTTCTTTAAAGGAGCTGTATGTATGTCACGTTTTAGAGTCAATGTCTGAACAGTTTGTAATAAAAAAAAATAAAAACAACTCTAATTTATAAAAAAATAATAATAATAATAATTCTCAAAAACTTCCTAGCCCTCTTAAAAACAGCAGTTCTGCAAATGGGTCTGTTCAATTCAAGATTCCCTCTACTTTTTAATCAAGATAACTTCCATCTTTGAGTTCATTACGTTGTTCTGATGTTTTTAAAGTAAACCTCATACTGGATTAAAAACAAATCTGTGGTATTGCGAATTATTGCAAGATTTTAAAATAGATTAGATTTTATTTAAATATATTTTGCTAATCTATATATATCTATATTTTCTATAAAATAATAATTTATTACTGTCATGACAAAGCAGAATTTTCATTACTCTTCATTAGTTTCTACAAGTTTTATTACTAGTCTGTAAGGTCAAATGAACCTTTTTTTATTCTAATATGCCGCTTCTCTTTCAAGAAACAATTTTTAGTGCTTCTTAATATTGTTTTGTCCAAATTGTCATACATCTGTGAAACATTTTTTGATCAATGTAAAGCATACTTGAATTATTCATAAAATAATGTAGTGTTCTGTAAAATAAAACATTAAGACCATAAAACTGAAGGCAGTTAACTGATTAAATATTTCTGAGCAGCATATAACTAGAAATTAATATATTTATCACAAAAATGCATTAAATACATAAGATATATTATTTATAAATATATATTTTTTATATTCCCCCTCAGACCTTATTCTTCAATGTGAAAGTGAGCACATTTTCGAGATTGTTTTAAACTTCTGATTCATTCGGCTGTTGGAGAAATGACTAGGAAAATAGTCAAAGCACTTGCTTTACAAACAATTGTGTTTATAACTATAGACAAAAAGTTGTATAATATAATAAGAAAATATCAGTTTGCAACATCCAGCAGCAGAAAGAGTCGTTTTTAACGTCTAAAATTCAATGGAGGTGATTAAGACTGGAAGTCTTAAGCCAAAAAGATTCCAATCGCTGCGCCCAATCGTACTTGAAGAATAAGGTCAATAAAATTAACCAAACTTTTTCAAACTTATGTTCAGGGTTCTTACACCTTTTCCAACTTCAAATTCCAGCACTTTCCAAGCAATTTTTAAGGTGCATTTGTATGCTTTTCCAGCACCTAACAACCACGGTTAATCATGTTTATATATGTTGTATGTACTTATTCACATTTAAATTCATTGTGCTATTTTAAAAAACACAAAATGACATTTACACTTAAATGGTTGACTATTTTGGAGCTTAGATTTATTGGGACAGTTCACCCAAAAATAGTGAAAAAATAAATTTAAAAAGTTCAGTTATTGAATGAAGTATGTTTTAAAGTTTGGTCTCTTTCTACCTAAAGTTGATATCTCAAGAAATGAGCTCACAGTCAGATTTTGTTTGGGTGTATAACCAAACTTTCATGACCAATCGTTCATAATATTTCAAGTGCATTGCTATTTTTTTTTTTTACAGTCATTGAATTGGCGTTTCAGATGCAAAGTTGCATTCCGGGTGAATGTTTCCTAAATCAGTATGAAGCTAATAATGCCAAAACAATCTGAAATTGAATATTTTGAATTCTTAAAAAACTGTATTTTTTACATACCCAAAATCTGCAGTCTTTGAATTCAGAACCAAAAAATCTAAAGTTTGAAAATATGTCTATAAAAATCTGACTTAAAAAAATTGTCTTAAATTTTAGATGTTCTATAATCGGGTTAAGAAATTCAAATTCAGTTTAACATTTTTAATAGCATATGATCAGTTTTATTAGCTTACAATTATTAATAATTAAATTTAACACAATTCAAATTCAGACTGTTTTGGCATATTATTAGCTCCATAAATACATGCATGCGGTGAACATTTAGCAATGAAAACTGGTCGCACAACAACAATTTAAGCCCTCGCACTTATGCTCCCAACCATATTTAGAGGTCGCAGATGAAATTGTGCATATATGCAACCAAAACAGTCAATTTCGAGCCCAGCAAATTCAAACTCAAGCAGGTTCAAGCACTTTGTCCAAAATCCAAGCACTTTTCTAACCTTGAAAACATTATATTAAAAATCAAGCATTTTCCAGGATTTCCAGCACCCGTAAGAACCCTGTATGATGTATGTTCAATAATGTATGCAACAAGTTTTTAAAATTATGTTGATGTGTTTGTGTAAAATCATGAAGTCTTTCAGTCAGCAAGTCTCACCAATCCGGACGGTCTCTGTGATGTCCTTCAGCTTCTTGAGGATTTTCTGCCCTAGGGTTTTGATTTGCTCCAGATCATCTTGCATGGAGTAACTGAGATCCATCAGGTAGTACAGATCTATAGGGTAACCCTGAGCCCTCTTAAACTCAACTGTGAACTCATATGGAACTCCTGCAAATTGGAAAGAAAGTCATTTAGAATATTTACATTTACTGATTTTGATGAAATTAACATAAATTGCTAAAGGAAGATAAAAGAAGCACTCTAAATCACCACAGAGTAGCAATACATAAATGCACTGATAAGTCTAGCAGTTTTTTCAAACATACATACACACACATATATAAACATACAGACATACACAGAGAGGAAAGAGTGTCTTCTAGAGGTGGTTTGTCAAGCCCACTCACCTGCATGAAGCACACTCAGAATTTGTGTCATCTCAGAAACATGGAGTGTTTATAACACATCACCATACTTGGTCTTGGAGGGTCGGTGTCCTGCAGATTTTAGATCCAACTAGGACTGGGCGATAAATCTATTTAATCTATTAACTCGAGTGTGTAGTTTACACCGATTTGTTTGCATGGAAATTGTTTTTACTCTAACACTTGAAGTTCAATTTATAACTTTTTGATTTAGTGGCTATTTCGTATGAAATTGAATGATCTAAGTCATACAATTTAGTATGATTTGCTCATCCCCCGGTTTAGGGGTTGGGTTGGGTGTCACGCCTCCTTTAAAAAAAAATTGTACCCTTTTGTACGTCTGAACTCGTATGAATTTCAACAAATTAGCCACTAAACTGTCAAAACGTAAAATAGTTAAGTTTCCTCATGAGATTATGCTGGTTGTTCCCCTGCATTTGCCGTAGAAACACACAAACAATATGGCAGCAAGTAGAAAAGAACTCTGAGAAATGCTGTGCTCTATGAAATAAAAAAAGAACACAGTAGCACAAGCATGCGCAACAAAAAATGACTGTGTGACACATTTGAACCTGCTTACACATTTGCTTAAGCTAATATGCTATATAGGTTAATAATCTTCAATGAGGGAATTTTTTTTTTTATTTAAATCATAAGTATATTTTTTTGTGATTTATTTTTAGGTTATATCGTCTAGCCCTAGATCCAACCTTGATCAAACACACCTGAACCATCTAATTAATGTGTTAGGTATACTTGAAACTTCCAAACGTTTGTTGAGGCAAGTTGGAGTCATCTCTGCAGGACACCTACTAGGGCTGTGCAATTAATTAAAAATTCGGTTTCGATTTCCATTTTGGCTTCTAACGATTATGAAAAACCATTAATCAAGTAAACGATTATTGCATCATATATCGCCCCTTTTCCAGTTGTACACATTTGATGCTCTGCAAAGCTCAGTTTCACGTGAAAATGACTAAAGGCTTGTACTGTAATGTAACTTTTGCATCACTGGATGCGCATCACTCATTGATGTACATTTGAAACATTCAAGTTTTTAAAAGCGCAAAAGAGATCGCATGGTTTTGTGTGCTCAGCCTCAGAGACGAGCAGAGCACACACAACTAAAGCCATCTTAATGTGAGCGTTTAGAAGTCAAATTTGTGTCAAAACACGGTGTTTAGTGATTATTCATATTAACCCTCATTTGTGTAATAAACAAACGAGTTGAGAATCAAAAGACACGGGAAAGAGAAACCATTAAGCAGAACTATTCTTAAAGTAACAGCATGCAATATTCCTGCTGCCGACGTTTTTATCATTAATCAAACAACAAAAGGACAAAATCCCTCACTGCTCTTGACTGAAGAACTTTTGTAGCTGAAGTTTTTTTTATTACAGTGAAGATGCTTAAAGCACAGTTTGCTTCATACTTAATTCTACTGTATATATTTCCCTTTCCTTATTTACAGGGAGGAAAATAATTGCATATAAGTCAGAATTATTAGCCCTGCTGAATTATTAGCAACCCCCCCCCCCCCATTTCTTTTTAACGGAAAGATTTTTATTCAACCCATTTCTAAACATAATAGTTTTAATAACTGATTTCTATGATTGATTTATTTTATCTTTGCTATGATGACAGTAAATAATATTTTACTAGATATTTTTCAAAATACAAGCATTCAGATTAAAGTGACATTCAAAGGCTTAATTGGGGTAATTAGGCAAGTCATTGTATAAATAAGTTCATCAAAACATGTATTGCTTAAGGGGGCTAATAATATTGACTTTAAATAAAGACTTTTCAAAATATTTAAACCTGCTTTTATTCTAGCCAAAATAAAACAAATAAGCCTTTCTCCAGCAGAAAAAATATTAAAGGGAATACTGTGAAAAAATTTAGTAATATTTATATAAAAAATGTCACTGGAAGGCTAATAATTTTGATTTCAACTGATAATCGTTTTAAATAATCACAATCACGGTTATGACCAAAATAATCATGATTATGATTTTTCCGTAATCCAGCAGCCCTAACACCTACCCTCCAAGACCAAGTTTGGTGACCTGTGGTTCACAAGAAAGAGTCTGGTGCAGATAAAAAGAAAAAGTCTATTTAAAATGTACTATTGACTAGCTATGATGAAGAGAGTCTGTAATATGGTTTCGTATCTAGTTTGTGCCAATTGTTTTGTATGCCATTTTGAATGATATTTCAGTATATCTTCACACTCTCAGAAATAGAGGTACAAGAGTACATATTAGTACCTAAGAAGTACAAAAGAGTACCACTTAAAAATTTTAGGTACTAATATTTTCCTTTGAGGTACCAATATATACCCTTTAAGTACAAATATGTATCTTTCGACCAGTGACTGCTCTTGTACCTTTATTTCTGAGAGAGCAATATCTGTTTACTGTATAATATTGTATCTACTAAGTGTAAATACAGTTTCAAGTTTTTCTTCTAATGTTTGTCTGAGCTGAAGTCTTAAGCTCACCAACTCGTAGTTTAATGTTGACATTCTGAGGTTTGAGTTGAACCACATTATAAGAATCATTGCTGAGGTCATTGTTCTTCACATAGTCCAATGGATGTTTTCCAGGATTGATTACACGAACATCTTCACAACCCCTATCCTTCAGAGACTTCGGAGAATCACAGCGTCGTTCATTAGATTCACCCGATTTCAAGAAGTTCTGCATTAAAAGGACATTCGCATTATTAAGCACAATCAGTTATGAAGAACAGTTGTTAAAAATAAGACAATAATTCAATATTAAAGCTCACTTATTATGCAAAATCAACTTTTATAAGCTATTTGGACAGAGCTGTGTGCAGGTATAGAGTGTTTACAGTAATTTTGGAGTGATATAAATGCAACAATTCTATTTTATTTCAATTTCCTACTGCAACATAGTGTAGGAGTGTAGTTTTACAAGTTTAACTTGTTTTTAAAACAGTGCAAATAAAGAAAAGACAGACAAATTTATATGTAATTCATAAGTGCTGGAATCCCTACAGCTGCATAGTGTCAGTACAACTATGAAAGATAACACTTCAACCTCAGATACAGTAACATAACGGATATTCATAGAGCAGTGTATAATAACTTGTATCCTTTTACATTTGTTGTGAGTAGATGTGGAAAAACAGTGGAAAGTTAATGTGTTTGTGTGTGAGTACTCTGAACGTGAAAGTGTTGAAACTTTCTCAGAAGCATTCTAGAGACACCTAAGACTTATCTTACATCTTGCATCTTACATCTCGAGTTAGTAATAGCAAACTCTCTTTTTGTGTAACTAAAAATTGCAGTGAATAGAATGCTGAAAGGCTGAGGAAGTGACTCTTTGGCTGAAATTTGTAAATGTTCCTTTATTTAATGCCCTACAAAACGCATGTTTTTTATCTGTGTTGTAATGACATTGTCATTATTGGCTTCTTCTATATGGCTTCTTGTTCATGACCTAATTTGCACCAGTTTATGTGTTACATTGGACATTATGAAAATGACATATAGACTGTTTGCTTTTATACTAATTAGCCTTTAAAAGTGTAGTTTACCCAAAAATTCAAATTCTGTGATAAATCACTCCTAATCATGTCTTTCCAATCTCTTAAGACCCTCATTTGTCTTAGGAACACAAATTAAGGTATTTTGGAAACATGTAAGATGTTCGAAGTTAAGAAAAAGTATCTAAAATATTATCAAAACATTTAATAAGAGTTCATTGGTTCAGCTGCAGCTGCTGCACATGCAAAGTTCCAAGAAAATTTGGATTCTAAAATTTAAAAACTATTTGTTCATCAATGTCTACGTTTACAATCGGCAGGACTTGACATTAACTTTTTTTGATCCCCAGCCACTGTGGCTAGTAGTTTTCCAACATTTCTAGCCACTCAGCATTTTCACTAGCCACAATTTTGCTGTGGGAAAATATTTTAATACACTTAAATATGACTTTGACATGGTAAAATTACTTGATTTAGGATTTTGTGTCATCTCCACATGCCTTCTCATTCACTTCACTTTTTGTGTGTCCTGTATGAACTTGCTTAATAAGCATGAGCAAATGGTTTATGGTTTCATAGTGTCATATTACAATTCAGTTTTGTTTCACATGACTTTTCAGGGTTCAGAATTAAGGATTTACCAAATTTATCTCTGACCACACCAAACATAAATAATTATTTTTTTCTTAACTTCAAATTTTAAATTTTAAACAACAACAATTGACATTTAAAAAATAATTATTGTCATGCATCTAAAATATGCACAGTAATCTGTCCAGGCTTAAGGTCCCAAACCACCAGTTAACTACACATACTGTAAAAGGGGATTTAATCTCCTATTAAAGCAATGTTATTGTAAAAAATGATAATTAAAACATATCAACCAAAATAACTGTAAGCAAAAGAAATCGGGTGAGAACATAGCATGTGTGATAATGAAAGGATGATCACAAGCACATGGTTAAATGTAGGCCAACTAATAATCTGTTCAAATAATGGTTAAAGCGAAAGCAACTGGTGCTGCTTATAAAAAAGACAAATCTGGAGCTCCTGAAAGCAGCAAGACAATGGGTGTTTGAGCATAACTTTTTGTCAAGTCTATTTTAAAGAGAAATGATCACATCAGTTGCGTTTCTAGGCATGGCAAGGAAACAGAAACGCACACGTGTTTTAAACAGTCTCGCAAATCACATCAGCTGTTGGCGCGAGTGATAATCCTCTCATTCGGTATTCACCTGTTTTCTATTGCTCTCACGAACATAATTATTTTTGTCAGTTATGCTGCTTCTCGATTAAAAAATGCATTTGCATGCATTTTGGGCTTTCCTTATTGTAGAACCATGCTTTTAAAAAAACTACAATTAAAAAATATTTTCACCAGCCAAAGTGGCTAGAGGAAGCGGCTGTCAAACTCGTCACAGCTGAAATCAACCCTGCATTTAGTGGGTTGGCGGTTGTTTGTCAAGCCCTGACTATTGGCAATGCAATGCTTGCCTGTTGCACTGTTAACTCCAATGTGTCGCACTACATATGGTAAATGTACACATTGACAACCTGATGCAGCAGAGAAGATATAGGCAAACAAAGTTGTTTTTGCAGGTTTTTTGGAACACAAACCATTCTTGGTGCTTTGATTATACTTTGTATGTTTTTGACAAAAGTTTAAGTTCCTTTTCAAGACACTTGCTGTCTATGGAGTATGAGGTGGCTCTCAGATTTAATCTAAATTATGTTCATTTGAGATTAACGAAGATCTCAGGTAATCAGAACAATATGAAAATTAATTATTAACTAATTTCCCATTTTAGAGTGAACTAGCAAATTTATTAGTTTGCTTTTACAAAGGTCAAATTGACGATGCACTAGCAATGTTACAATCTCTGATTTACAGCTAAATTAACATATACATCAATTGATAAAAATGTACACCACCGATGCACATTATTAATTTGTATAAAAGCACCAACCAAAATGCATACATGTTAATGAAAACTCAATTAGAGGCTATGAGCAAGAGATAACAAAATACTTTTTTATCTGTGTATCTTAACCATAAAACTGACCTGCAAATATCCCCATTATACAAATTTAATTGAGCAGTAATACAAAATCTCATAAAACTTGGGAGGTTAATTAGTAGTTCCTACAACTCAAAATGAAAATGGGTCAAACTGAGCCAGAAAATTATACAAGGAATAAACAACATGAGTTTCAACAAAGGAAATAGGTGGCACATTCAAAACCCCACTTGAATCTAATGCTTTAACGCTGTTACACGGCTTAGCAAAAAGACTATTAAGGTCAAATGTATTTTGACATATTTGGTTAGTTTGCATAGAAAAAGCAAGCATAACCACAGTTGCCACAGCAGGAAAAGTGCCCCCAAACATGCACAAAATGCAAAGCGCAATGCTAAAAACGTTGTCATAGTGTATATTAGATGTTGCGTGCTTCTCTCTAACAGACACTGACATATATATAATACTTGAACAAATACATCCTCTCAATTCTGATGATTGGGTTCAACTATTCTACATTTCACTTCAATTTTGAATTGAATTTTGAATTGATTAAATGAGATAGCCCCTTGAGATGAACTGTCTCATTTTCAAGGGGGTCCCTACGAAGTACATAAATCAAACAGAGTACAACACATCATAACAAACATAGAGGTAAGCGAATCAAACAAACAACACACTTCACCTGAAACACTTCCCACTGTCTAAAGGCTAAACTAACAAAAACATATAATCAAAAGTACAAACAGTTTTATATAAAAATAAATAATAAACATTTAAATTGGAACCAACAATAACATTTACAAGTTGTTTCCAAAAGAGAAGATAAATGAGACCTGAAAAGGCTAATGTCTTTATATTATATTTAAAAAGAAGGAAGATTATTCCAGTCAAAAGGAGCTTTGTATTGAAAGGACCTTCGGCCACTTTCTGTTGTAATTCTTAAAACAACAAATTAATTCTGTAAAATATGTCAAAGAGAATATGAAGGAAAAAACTGCTTTAAATAAGAAGTGGAACTAAAATAAACCCATTTAAACAGCAATATCATTGACTACGGAACTTAGGTTGAAGCAAACCAAGAGATTTGTATAATATGCAATGGAAAGTTCTATACGGACATCTTCAAACAAAACTACATAGAGAGTTGAAGAAAGTATTTGAAGGTTTTAAATTAATATCAGATGTATTGTTATAAATAGTATCAGCATAATTTACATTTACATGATGTGACCTACCATTTGTGTGCACCAAGCACATCCAGGACTCCTGATACATTCAGAACATGAAGGCTGATTTTGGCAAACGGGTTCTTCCCCTAAAATGCACATAAACATTATTAGTTTACATAATACATTAGTGCACATAAACATACCATTAGTTTGTATTAAAAGCATCAAAAACCTACCATCCAATTTTTAAAATGCACAATTTAATAAAAAAATAAGTGCACTACCTAGTGTATACTTCTGTCCCAAACAGTGTAAGAGAACCATCAAAGCTATCAGCACAGCCTTCATCTGGAGAGAAAGACAGAGTTTTATTATACCTGTAGGCTTAGGTTTATTATGTATTTATTTCTAGTTTATGAAATATATTAGGATATATAAGGACTGCACAATATTTCATTTCAGCATCAATATCGCAATGTGCGCAGCCACAAAAGTCACATCGCAAAGATATGCAATATTAGACCAATTCTGTGATTTAAAGTAGATTTATAGACTGAATTATAGTTGACCAGAAGCTACAGAACTGTATTTAATCACTGTATTTATATGGAATTTACATGATTTATGCAAAAAATTGTTTATTTTTTCTTGTTTCTAGTCCAAATATCTACATTTTTCTTCTTAATATCTACTGTTTTTACTTGCTCTGGGAATTTTTAAATCTTTGGACTAGAAACGAGACAAAAAAAAACAAGAAATGAGAGCATTTTTTGAATTCTCTACTTGAATACTGTTAGACTCCTCAGAAAAACGACAAATAGAGCTATTCAAACTATCTTGTGACACTGTAATCACATCGCAATATCAGATTTTTCCAATATCATGCAGTCCTATTAGGAAATATTTCACCAGCATGGACCTTGCCACATTTTGAGCTAGATTTTATTGTAGGGATGAAAGGGATGGTAAGAGAACAGCAGAATTAAGGGGAAGGGAAGTAAGAGGATCAACAGTAAACAGGTAGGTACTGTAGGTTTATCTGTGGTTCTACAATAATGTCCCTACGAGTTCGAGAGAACGAGAAGAACAGTGCTAGAGGGCTGGTCTGCCTTAAATAAGTTTTAAGTAGTAGGTGAATGGTTAAGGAGACAAAGTTAGGCGTGGTTCCACTGCCAAACCTTTGTCAACAAGTTAACTCCATAAAATACCATTCATTAATTAAAAGCAGAATAAAAAGATTAAGCTTTTATATTAAAAGGATAGTTCACCCAAAAAACTGATTTACTCACCATTTACTCGCCCTCAAGTGGTCCCAAACCTTTTCTTTGGTAATAAAAAGAAGATGTTTTAAAATGTTAAAAAACCGGTAACAATTGACATCACTAACACAATAAACAAATACTACACAAGTCAAAGGCTGCCGGTTTCCAAAAGGTTTCAAAATATCTTCTACTGTTTTCAAAGGCTTTTGGAAAATGAGGAGTAAGTAAATTATGACCGAATTGTAAATTTTCTCTTTAAGCGTTTCAGATTTTGATATTTACATTTTTAAATTAATATTTTTAACCATTTTCTTTGTAAAAATATCCTGAATGTTTCTTTGGGATCAGAAAACAAATCTTATTGTGCCTTAAAACAGTATTTTAACACTATCTGATGTTCTACACCATATGACAGGCACATGTAAAAAAAAGAGAAATAAGGCAAAATTGTTTTTTAAAAACATCACTGTGCTTCCACCATCCTGTAAATCCCTCATTCATGAGAACATACTTCACAGTAGACATCTGATAATGAGTCAAGCATTGAAAGGTGGAAGTTTGCAACAGCATGTGTCAGACAGGCAAAAAACTAAACCACAGTATTTCACTCTTCCTCTTCGTAAATGTCAATCAGCACAAACCAGCACAGAGACAAAAACTGGGTGAGAGACGATTTATCCATGGGTAAAGACACATTCTCACTTTCTCACAAACCACTAATAAATATGCCTTATTAGAGGTGCAACCGTCAGCTTTTTAAAGCAGCATGTGAAGAAAACATCATTTTTAGATGTTAGGTTGACCCTGTTCCACTGACGGAAACATTCAGACAGGCAGACAGGAAGTGTTTCTTTTTTAAACTGCACTTGATGGGGTTTCAGAAGGATGCAGTTTATATTTTTAAAAAGCAGTGGGTTCTTTTTGTACAATGATTGTTTTAGACAGCTGTGTGGTTAAACCAACAAAAAAGCAATTATGCTACAATAAAATAAGTTATTTTAGTGTAACCTAAATTGAATTATTTCCTTCCACAGCCCAAAAATGACATTAATTAATTTCTCAAATTCACCAAAATTCAAATATTAATTCAAAGATATTCAAAACAACTTCTTTTTTTCAAACTTTTTTACATTACAAATATTATAAGTATGTGCTAAAGGCAAACAAAAGGTAGGTGTAAAAATAATTTCAACCTGAATTAAATTTATAACAGAACATGAAAATCACACAAAAATCTGATAGGAACAGTATTTCATTGGCATAAATAGTTCATTAAAACAGATCTCACTCATTCCAGAAAACAATAAGGTCAACATTCATTTTCCAGCTAAATAATACTTAATCTTCAGACAAAAAGAAAACATCTCATAAGAATTAAGTGGTGCTAAATGCTTTATGTGTTACATAGCAAAAATAGATATATAATATACTATAGATATATACTATAGATATATAACCACTTGGGAACCATTACAGGCTCTTTATAGGTTATACAGCACTAAATTTGGTTCTCCTATTATTACGAGCAAAAGAAACTCTGAGGAACCTTTTTCCTTTAGTAAACAATCTTGCAAATCTAATTTTATTATGATAAAGCCAAACATTATATGTAAACTAAATTAACTACAATAAGCCAGTATGTTAGATTATAGATTTTTTCACAGTACATTTCAGAAACCCCCGTTAACAGGAGGGCTGTTGAGAAATAACTTGTGAGTAACTTCATCATGTAGTAAATTTTGACATAAATTGTTCACTGATTTACCAGAACCTCCGAGTAGCATATGTTGGGTTAATGAACATGTTTGGTTAACGTAGTACCTAACGTAACACAATGCTTATAATATTATATAGGGTTAATAAACATAAAATCCTTTAAAATGTCATATTTCAAAATAATACAGGTAATATTATCTTATATTTACTTCATTCGTTTTCCTTTAAATACATTAAGGTGTTGGTCATTTGTTTCTGTCATAAAACGCCACTTTCCCCAATTCACTTCAACAGAACTTGCTCTTCTCAAAATGACACTTTTACTTCAGAAACTGTTAGGGTCCGTGTATCATCCGTTCATTTGATTATTCCTTTTATTACGGAAAACGAAACATCAGAAAAACGATGAATATTTCGTTTTTCTGTTTATTCTGTAGGCAGAAAAAACGGAAACTCACCTGTTATTCAGCTTATTAACTTAAAACGAAATATTAAAACAAACACAAAACCAAAACGAAATAATGAGTCAAAAAATGGTCCGTGTACGGTCCGTGAACATTTTGTTTATTTGTTTTCCATTTTCAAACGGAATAAAGGAAATGGAGAAAACGGCCGTTTTTCCGTTTTTCTTTTGCTCACGAGAAAACGAAAAAACGAGATTTTGGCTGGATTTTCGTTTTTTGGTTTAGGGTAGGAAAACGGATAAACGACTTTAAAATTCATTTTACACATGTAGGCGGTGCTGAAACGCCCACTTTCCTCTAATTGGTCAACCAAATCTGCGCTCGTGACGTCACCCTCAAAATAAAAGCCTTACACGCAGGCTTTTAATTATTATTATTTAATTATATATATTAACAAAGTTTACATATTCTATCATTTGAACCACACACAGTTAGCAGGCTTACATTCATTGCGTATGTATAAATTAAATAAAAACGTAAATCAGCAGTATTCTTAGACATTTGTCATTAAAATAAGGTCATAGTTCACTGCCAAGCTTCTTGCTGCTGTGCACCTGATGCAGAGCAAAGAAAGCCATTTCCGAGCAGCACCTGGTTTGCATGATTGTTTCAGAGCTATTGTAGGCCTAAATAATAGCCTACTCTGTATAAAATAATAATTTATTATTATTATTATTATTATTATCATTACTATTATTATTATTATTATTATTATTATTATTATTATTATTATTATTATTATTAGGCCTATTATTATTAGTATTGTTATTATTATTATTTACTTAGTTATTCAATGGTTGTAAGAACACATTGGACCCTGCATGGGGCTATAATAAATGGTACCATTTGTTTCTATTGGATTTTCTCCTATTTTAATTTAATATATGCCTTTAGCCTATTGTAAATATTTATTTGATAATTAATACTTTTTTATTGCAACGTCAAAGTAGGCCTGTCTTATTATTATTATTTTTTGTTATTATTTTGTCGTTGTTGTTGTTATTATTATTGTAGCAGGGACATAGCCACAGGTGTGGCAGAGTGTGCTGGTGCCATCCAAAGTGGCATCTTGCACCTGAAAATAGATGCCTTCGCACTCAAGCACGCGCAAAAAAACTTGCACAGGCAAAAGTAATGATGAATGTGTTGAAGGAAAAAAAAACATTCTAATTATTTGTTAATTAAATAGTGCAACATTATTCTCAGTCAGTGTAGGCTGAAAAAATTAAGATCGCCAGCATTTCAAGGGTGATTTTATTTTTAGTTTATTGCTGTGACGCGCTATATTTCACTAAGGCTGCATGAGACTGCGCATCTTGCTTATTTTCTCTATTTTACATACAGAACATATCATACAGTCCAGGTTCTACCGTTCTAGTGAGTGTGGGGCATTGCTTTACAGTGGTAAAGTGGATTATTTCTTGGCAAATTCATAATGATTCACTTTGTTTAGTAATAAATTTCATAGTTATAAAATAACTACATTTCAAGAATATGTTAACACTTTCAACTATTTAGGATTATTTATTGCATCAAAAGTAATTTCAAAGTAACATTAAATGTACGTATAAACTGCTTAATTTGTGTGTGTAAACACCTAAGATGCAAAAAGCTTATTTAGACCAGAATAGGCCTACTAAATGCAACGGTCAATGTATGTAAACTTATGACCTAAAATGTCTTAAATGACTAAATTTAAGTCTTTTTAAGTTTTTAAATAATTTGAGTTTAACATAAATGATTTAAACTTTAAACTTAAAATTAACAGAGTATGGCAAATAAATTGTTTATTAAATGGAGGTCAGGTGTCTATCTTAATTATAATTATTAAATATTATGACACTATAATTCAGTGGTGTATTGGGGAGTACGCACCTTTTAATTAATTAATTTTAAATAAGTAGTTTATCCTAAATAAAATGCAATGGGATCGGTGTGCAATGAATAGTTTGAAAACCCCTGGTTCAGACTAGACGAGCTAGCTGTCTGTGCGCTGCGCTAATAACTTGGCATTTGCACTTTTCGGTGCTGCCAGATGCATTTATAGTGCATAAAAAATAAAAAAGGTAATTCGGTAAAGCGCGCGATGCGCGCAGAAATAAGCGCACTATATGCATATGTCGAATTAAGTTCTCTTTTTCTTTAATCAAGACTTTTCCATTCGAGGAATTACAGTTATTAATAGCTTAGTCCTTATAAACGATCAGTTTATAAAATACACAATTTACGGATCAAGCCTAATGAAGAATAAGAAGAATATGCAACGCATTATGATCCTTGAATGATCAGAGCGCATTTATATAAACTATATATTTTATATAATCCATAAATATTAAAAAACATTATACATTTAAAGTAATGGAACATTATATGTTATAAAATCTAAACTATTATTTAGGCTACAGGCTGTTCAGCGCGTGCGTCAAAGAAAAGACATGACACAATCTCTATAAAAACTAGTTGTTTATTTACAATATCTAAAGGGATATAAAACATCTAACATGCATCTCCATTCTCAACGAGTTTCTGTGTTCTGCATTCTTCACAGACCGAGATCTCATTCCGAGGTAATCTGTAAATATTCTCATTTGGTTCTGGCACATTCTTGATTAAAGGTGAAACTGACCGGCGCAACGCAATCTTTGAAGCATTGCACCTCAAATGTTATTCCTTTTTTATTATTGTATTTTTAATATTTTTAATTATACAACACAAAATTGGTTCTAAACAGATACATTTTCCTATAGGCTATGATGAAGTGTATATTTTTGTTCACACAGGTCCAATACAAAACTGTGTGGATGGATGATTTGTTTCTCCGTGAAAATCACTCATTTAATAAGCAAAACAGGCCAAAATGTTGTTTAGCTTGCGTCAAACTGGATGGACAATTTACAAACATATTGAATACAAAGGCTGGTTATTTTATGCAATGAGGGACAATATTACAAATTACAAATTAAAGAAAATTATTTGCATATTAAAACGAAAATATATAATACAACAACAGATCCTACCTTGTAAGAAATGATAATTCAGTAGTGTAGTGCGTTCGCGTGGGTTTCCTCCAGGTGCTCCGGTTTCCCCCACAGTCCAAAGACATGCGGTACAGGTGAATTGGGTAGGCTAAATTGTCCGTACTGTATAAGTGTGTGTATGTGTGGATGTTTCCCAGAGATGGGTTGTGGCTGGAAGGGCATCCGCTGCATAAAAACTTGCTAAAATAAGTTGGCGGTTCATTCCACGCGAACGCACCACACTACTGAATTAGACACACAATCTCAAAAAAAAAACTTGATGCTTATTTACATTATCTAAAGTCATTTCTTACGAGGTAGGATCTGTTGTTGTATTATATATTTTCGTTTTAATATGCAAATAATTTTCTTTAATTTGTAATAGGCCTATTGTCCCTCATTGCATAAAATAACCAGCCTTTGTATTCAATATGTTTGTAATTTGTCCATCCAGTTTGACGCAAGCTAAACAACGGAGAAACAAATCATCCATCCACACAGTTTTGTATAGGACCTGTGTGAACAAAAATATACACTTCATTATAGCCTATAGGAAAATGTATCTGCTTAGAACCAATTTTGTGTTGTATAATTAAAAATATAAAAAATGCAATAAAAAAAAAAGGAATAACATTTGAAGTGCAATGCTTCAAAGATCCAATACGCTGCATGCAGAGCCAAAACAAAAACTGGTTTGTTTGTTTAATAAAATAATAATATGAAATTAAAGTGAAATAGTTCCATAACCTGTATTATAACTGTCACAGATGACAAATCATCCATTGCGCCGGTCAGTTTCACCTTTAATCAAGAATGTGCCAAAACCAAATGAGAATATTTACAGATTACCTCGGAATGAGACCTCGGTCTGTGAAGGATGCAGAACACAGAAACTCGTTGAGAATGGAGATGCATGTTAGATGTTTTATATCCCTTTAGATATTGTAAATAAACAACAAGTTTTTATAGAGATTGTGTCATGTCTTTTCTTTGACGCACGCGCTGAACAGCCCCAAAAAGGCGCCTTTATTTAGCCTGTAGCCTAAATAATAGTTTAGATTTTATAACATATAATGTTCCATTACTTTAAATGTATAATGTTTTTTAATATTTATGGATTATATAAAATTTATAGTTTATATAAATGCGCTCTGATCATTCAAGGATCATAATACGTTGCATATTCTTCTTATTCTTATTAGGCTTGATCCGTAAATTGTGTATTTTATAAACTGATCGTTTATAAGGACTAAGCTATTATTAACTGTAATTCCTCTAATGGAAAAGTCTTGATTAAAGAAAAAGAGAACTTAATTCGACATATGCATATAGTGCGCTTATTTCTGCGCGCATCGCGCGCTTTACCGAATTACCTTTTTTATTTTTTATGCACTATAAATGCATCTGGCAGCACCGAAAATAGCAAATGCCAAGTTATTAGCGCAGCGCACAGACAGCTAGCTCGTCTAGTCTGAACCAGGGGTTTTCAAACTATTCATTGCACACCGATCCCATTGCATTTTATTTAGGATAAACTACTTATTTAAAATTAATTAATTAAAAGGTGCGTACTCCCCAATACACCACTGAATTATAGTGTCATAATATTTAATAATTATAATTAAGATAGACACCTGACCTCCATTTAATAAACAATTTATTTGCCATACTCTGTTAATTTGAAGTTTAAAGTTTAAATCATTTATGTTAAACTTAAATTATTTAAAAACTTAAAAAGACTTAAATTTAGTCATTTAAGACATTTTAGGTCATAAGTTTACATACATTGACCGTTGCATTTAGTAGGCCTATTCTGGTCTAAATAAGCTTTTTGCATCTTAGGTGTTTACACACACAAATTAAGCAGTTTATACGTACATTTAATGTTACTTTGAAATTACTTTTGATGTAATAAATAATCTTAAATAGTTGGAAGTGTTAACATATTCTTGAAATGTAGTTATTTTATAACTATGAAATTTATTACTAAACAAAGTGAATCATTATGAATTTGCCAAGAAATAATCCACTTTACCACTGTAAAGCAATGCCCCACACTCACTAGATCGGTAGAACCTGGACTGTATGATATGTTCTGTATGTAAAATAGAGAAAATAAGCAAGATGCGCTTTCAGTCTCATGCAGCCTTAGTGAAATATAGCGCGTCACAGCAATAAACTAAAAATAAAACCACCCTTGAAATGCTGGCGATCCTAATTTTTTCAGCCTACACTGACTGAGAATAATGTTGCACTATTTTATTAACAAATAATTAGAATGTTTTTTTTTCCTTCAACACATTCATCATTACTTTTGCCTGTGCAAGTTTTTTGCGCGCGCTTGAGCGCGAAGGCATCTATTTTCAGGTGCAAGATGCCACTTTGGGTGGCACCAGCACACTCTGCCACACCTGTGGCTATGTCCCTGCTACAATAATAATAACAACAATAATGACAAAATAATAATAACAAATAATAATAATAAGACAGGCCTACTTTGACGTTGCAATAAAAAAGTATTAATTATCAAATAAATATTTACAATAGGCTAAAGGCATATATTAAATTAAAATAGGAGAAAATCCAATAGAAACAAATGGTACCATTTATTATAGCCCCATGCAGGGTCCAATGTGTTCTTACAACCATTGAATAACTAAGTAAATAATAATAATAACAATACTAATAATAATAGGCCTAATAATAATAATAATAATAATAATAATAAATTATTATTTTATACAGAGTAGGCTATTATTTAGGCCTACAATAGCTCTGAAACAATCATGTAAACCAGGTGCTGCTCGGAAATGGCTTTCTTTGCTCTGCATCAGGTGCACAGCAGCAAGAAGCTTGGCAGTGAACTATGACCTTATTTTAACGACAAATGTCTAAGAATACTGCTGATTTACGTTTTTATTTATTTATACATAAGGAATGAATGTAAGCCTGCTAACTGTGTGTGGTTCAAATGATAGAATATGTAAACTTAGTTAATATATAATTAAATAATAATAATTAAAAGCCTGCGTGTAAGGCTTTTATTTTGAGGGTGACGTCACGAGCGCAGATTTGGTTGACCAATTAGAGGAAAGTGGGCGTTTCAGCACCGCCTACATGTGTAAAATGAATTTTAAAGTCGTTTATCCGTTTTCCTACCCTAAACCAAAAAACGAAAATCCAGCCAAAATCTCGTTTTTTCGTTTTCTCGTGAGCAAAAGAAAAACGGAAAAACGGCCGTTTTCTCCATTTCCTTTATTCCGTTTGAAAATGGAAAACAAATAAACAAAATGTTCACGGACCGTACACGGACCATTTTTTGACTCATTATTTCGTTTTGGTTTTGTGTTTGTTTTAATATTTCGTTTTAAGTTAATAAGCTGAATAACAGATGAGTTTCCGTTTTTTCTGCCTACAGAATAAACAGAAAAACGAAATATTCATCGTTTTTCTGATGTTTCGTTTTCCGTAATAAAAGGAATAATCAAATGAACGGATGATACACGGACCTGTTAGAAACTAACTGTCAAGCTTTAAGAAAGTCGATTCATGTAATTAAATTCATATTCAACAAATTCAATCAATCAAAATCGTATGAAATCATTTTAATGGAGTTTCTTACCTTTACGCCAGTTGTCGTGTGAGTGTGTAAAATTCAAAGCATCGCTGGAGGCGTCATTCTCAAAGTATACTCTGCCTGTCGGTGGCTGTTTTAAAATCTACTGAGCTTCCTACATAGTCATCATTACTTAGCCCTTGTCTTAGTTACAGACACGTGCATGATTTTTGAGCAGGTACTATGGTATACTATGGTATTCGAAAAAGCTGCGCGCATATGACATGTTGATGTATGACATGTTGCTAATCTTTAAACATGATGTCTAGATAGGCGACTTAATATAATTTGAGACACAGCACGAGCTAACGCGCAAAAGATGCAGAAATAATGTGGTCACTTTACCTCTTCCTGTCTTGATTATATCTGTGCTTATGCGTGTCGTTTGTAAATTTCCCCACACTAGCCAAAACTCTTTAAAATATTAAAATAATTATTCCCCGTTAAAGAAGAAGAAAAATCCATTATAAAATCCGTTAAAGGGCGTAATTTATTGCGACCAAAAAGCCCAGCGAGGTAATAATATTAAAAACCTGAATTGGCTCAATGACACAATACTGTAATTTTGAATGACTAATAAAAACATTTTCGCCACATGGCGGCGCTCTTGATGTGAGTTTTCTGCTACTGCCATGCCGAAAGTACCAGCATGATGATGCTTAGCTTAGTTTTGGTACTTAGCTTGTTTTTGCTGGTCCCCTCCTGGTTTTTGCTTGGTTTGTTTGTTTGTTTGTTTGTTTGTTTGTTTCAGCTGGATGAACAGGAACATCTCAGAAACATCATATTATACTGAAAATTCAGCTTCAGAACACCTGTTTTAAGACATAAAATTAAATTATGCATGCAAACAGCACAGCGTCCAAGCACCTTTATTTAACATATTACTTTCTATTTAGGACTGTTCTATAAGAATTGGGACCGTATTTGAAAAACTGGTGTGTGGTAAGATTTGAGTATTGTGGTGAATTGTATGTACAGAATGGTGATATTTAAACAGATATATGGTACAGTAGGCCCTACATAAGAGAAAATTGGCACTCTGGAAACTGAATTCACACACACTAACAGTCAAAAGTTTGGGGTCAGTTTTTTAAATGTTTTTTTTTTAAGAAAATTATCCTGTTCTTAAAGGCAACATATATTAACTGTAAAAAAAGTTAAATTGTTAAATATTTATTAAAAATTTAAATTACTGCTTTCTTGATGTATGTAGTTTCAAATTAAATTATTAATTCAGTCATTATTGCTTTATTACCATCAGCATTATTAGAGTGATTTCTGAAGAGTCATGTGACTCTGAAGACTGGAGTAATGAAGCTGAAAATTTATCTTTAAAATCACTTTAATAAATGATTAAATTAAATGCTAAACTACTTTTGAACAGTTCTTTTATAGTGCAATAACATTTCACAATTTCACAATTTGTACTGTATTTTTGATTAAATATTTGCAGCCTTGGTGAGCAGAAGCTTATTTTAAAACATTTAAAAATCATACTGACCCCAAACTTTTGACCAGTAGTGTAAAAAAAAAAATCACTTCCTTTCAGTTTATTCTCTTGTTCCCTACAGCGGAATGACCCACCAATTACACTGGCACATGTTTTACTTACAGATGCCCTTGCTTGCACAACCCTAGACTGACCCAACTCCCATTCACTATAATTTACAGTAGAAGTCAGAATTGTTAGCCCCCCTGAATTATTAGCCCCCTGTTTATTTCCCCCAATTTCTGTTTAACAGAGAGATTTTTTCAACACATTTCTAAACATAATAGTTCTAATAACTGATTTAGTTTATCTTTGTCATGATGACAGTAAATAATATTTTACTAGATATTTCTCAACAATTCTATACAGCTTAAACTAACATTTAAAGAGTCATTAGGTTAACTAGGCATTATATAACCATGGTTTGCTCTGTAGACTATCAAAAAAAAGAGGCTAATAATATTGACCTTAAAATGCTTTTTAAAAAAGGAAAAACTGCTTTTATTCTTGCCGAAATAAAACAAATAGAAGAAAAAAAACCTCTCCAGAAGAAAAAAATATTATCACACATACAGTGAAAATTTCCTTGCTCTATTTATCATCATTTGAGAAATATATATAGATTTTGTTTTGGGTGCGCTGTAACGGCATATTAGATTTTTAAATGACATGCAATGCTCAGCATAATTGAGTACAACCCATTTTGAAAATGAATATTTTAATCCATTTCTCAGTGAATATAGGCAATGTATTTTGGTGCATTTAAACAAAACAGATTTGTTAAACAGATATATTTATTAAAATATTTTTTTAGTCTCCAAACATATTCAGAAATTGAAAGATAATACAAATAAATTCAAGCAAAATATTGCAAAAAAAAAAAATACAACCTACAATTTGCTTTTGTTTTTTTTTTTCAATTTTTTGCTTCTCTTAATTTTTCCTCTTTTTTAAAATATGTATTTAATATTTTTCTATAACATACAAATTTGTCTATACTAGTTTTTGGACCATTATCATAAGTTATGAATATAACTAAGTTATATATAGAATATATATATATATATAGAATATAATAGAATAGAATTTATATATAAAATAGTTACAAAATATGAATTTAAAAGATAAACTTGTGTACTTACTGTATATATGCTGAGCACTGTAAACTGATTTTCTCTGGGAATGCTGATGTTAAAATGACTGCTAATCTATCACCTTTGTTCAGTGAAAGCATGTCAAATTAAATCTACTAGCTGCATTTAGCATTGCTGTTTTATTCATTCCCCAAACAAAATACAATTTATTTCAGATGTGAACATCAAAAAAATCTCATATTTTTGTAACAAACAAAACAAAAACAAAACAAGTTGTGGGTATTTAAAGGGACAGTTCACCAAAAAAATGAACATTCTCTCATTATTAACTCAGTTATGTAAACTATATTATATTGTATGCTCACATGGATTTGGAAGAACATAAGTGTTAATCAACATACCATTGTTTCATATTAGGATCATATTAACTTGTGTGTGTGGGTGTGTGTGTGTGTGTGTGTGTGTGTGTGTGTGTGTGTGTGATCTAGACTCCTCCTCTCTTCTTGATAACATGCTCCATCGTAGCAGTCTCTGAGGTGTCCAAACTGATCTTGTATTTGGCCAGAATTTTGAGAATGGGTCTAAGCTTCAGCCACCACTCAGTCTTCGGTATACGATGTCTGAAACATGAACAGAATCAGGAAGATTTCGCTCAGTGAATGACAATGTGTGTGAAGAGGTGAAACTGAGGGATCACTCACTCAAAGTCAGTGTCCTCCTTGAGATCAGAGAGAGGCTGGAAGAGCATGGCTCTCTTCCTCATTCCCAGGACACAGGCAGAGTCCGGCGTGTTGGCAAAGATACGGCCTGTTCATACAGTAGGGAACCATGTTTATACAAAGACAGAAAGGGAATGTTATTCACACACATTTACAGGCAGGTTCATTAAGATTAATGTAATGTACCTTCCACGAAGACGACACACTTCGAGTCCTATTGTTTTTTTGGTAACACTTTACAATAAGGTTCATTAGTTAATGCATTTACTAACATAAACTAATCATGAAGAACACATGTACAGCATTTATTAATCATAATTGAACACTTAGTAATGCCTTATTAACATCCAAGTCCATGCTTGTTAACATTAGTTAATGCACCATGAGTTAACATGAACTAACAATGAACTACTGTATTTTCATTAACTAATGTTAACTAACATGAACAAATACAGTAGTAAATTTATTGTTCATTGTTTGTTCATGTTAGTAAATGCATTAATTAACATTAACTAATGAACCTTATTGTAAAGTGTGACCGTTTTTTTCATGCAATAAAGGTTGTTAAAAATGCAATATTTCACTCCCGGGTTCAATGTCAATATCTTGGCTTTTATTTTTCATGACCTAAATATCATGCTTTGCATAATTTTAAGTTGTTGTTTTTAAATAGCCATTATGAGAGCAACAATGGATGATTTACCTCACTTTTTGAAAATAAATGAGAAGAAACAACTCAGTCTAACACATTTTAGTCTTTGAAGTAGTCATTTTGAAGCCAAAGCTCTTAAATTGACATTTTCTTGTCATGTCTGCCTTAATTAACAGGTACAACTTGGTGACTGACAGAGTGGGAAAAATAAAATGTCACTAAAAATAGCCTAAATATAACAATAACCATAACTATAACAGAAAAGGTCATTGGGGAAGGTGGTAACAACAGCCATTAAGTTGTTGGGAATAAAACTAATGTAGTATTGATAGTATATACAAAGAAAGAGTACTAAAAAAGACTTCCATAATTGTCAATAATAAGAGACTTTTTCCTTTTTCAAACACCTTCCAATTGTTACCATCGTGTCATCGATATTGTGTTCACAAATGTGTAAAAAATAGGAAAAAACTCATTCCTCAGTAGCAGTTGATGGCCAGTAGACTGGATATTTATTTAGGGTAGGGGTACCATGTTTTTATATGATATATATATATATATATATATATATATATATATATATATATATATATATATATATATATATATGCCAAGTGTGATATGTCAGATGTCTCTGTGAGTGTATACTGCAAATGAAATTTCCCTATTGGGACAAATAAAGTTAACTAACTAAGTAAATAGGCAAAATGCGTAAAACAACATAATAAAAACATAGAAAAACTAAATTTTGATAAATGTAAAAATTTAATTAAAGCTACAAAAAAGTCTCTGATTTGAATTCCATAAACTGAACAAAAAATATAACAGTTCCTGACTTAAAGTGTCTAGAAAAAAGCATTCTGAAATACCATAATATTTCAGAAATCACAACTCACACAATTTCATTCTGCTTATTCCCTTCTTTACTACTAATACAAATTATTAGACAGACAGACAGACAGACAGACAGACAGACAGACAGACAGACAGACAGACAGATAGACAGACAGATAGATAGATAGATAGATAGATAGATAGATAGATAGATAGATAGATAGATAGATAGATAGATAGACTGAATGATTGATCACCATGTCTGTAACACTCCTTCAGTTTATCTGTCAGCCACAGCACAGCTTTAGCTCCCATCTTTGTGCCAAAATTTCTATCAAACGGTGTAGGGGTTCCACCCTGACAACATGTTTGTAAAAAGTTAATAATTGAGAAATATGACAAGATATAATACAAGGTATCACAATATAGCAATGTCAAAAACACATCAAACTCAGTACTGTACACCCAGACCTGCTGCATGTGGCCAAGAACATTTTTGCGGCAGTCAAACACTCCTTTGCCCTCTTCTGAGTAGAGGTTGAAGAGAAAATCTGTAGTGTAGTTTGCATTACATTTCTCATTTCTAAAGGAAACACAGTTTTATGTTATTTAGAGTGTTGGCACAAGAGTAGGGTATCTAGATTACAGCAGAATTTGTCTGAAATATTATGTGGGAAAGCATGAAATGATGCAGAAACTGTGAAAACGGCAAACCTGAGGATGAGGCCTCTTTTCACTGTTGTCTTCATCTTCTCCAGTAAGTGCTCCACGTTGGCCTATTTCCCCAGGCAGATATTTAACAGTTAAAAACATTGACACATAATATGCATACAAACAACAGCCTCAATCTAACCAAACACATCTTACCTCCAGGTCATGAATGCCAAAGGGGTCTTCAAAGACGTACGCAGCGTCAGCCCCTGCAGCCAGTCCTGCCATGGTTGCCAGATAACCACAGTATCCTCCCATTGTTTCAATGATGAAAACCCTGCGCTTCGTTCCAGCAGCAGATTGCTTGATCCTATCGCATGTCTGAAAAGACACAAAAACATGATCAAGCACATAGGACCAGATTTCCTTTTGCCATGAAAAATTACACTTTTACTAAAAAACTATATCTAAAAATAGCAAAGAAATGGTGTGACTAGAGCCTAAAACGGGCCAAGTTCATACAATTAAGCAAAAATAATCAACTTTATGATACTGGTGTTCCCATGTACTTAGTCATTTTGCATATTTGTATTTTACTTATGTTAGTTCCGCATAATTTAGATGTGCAAATTTAAATTATGAAATATTATTATTATTATTATTATTATTTAGGCGAAAGATTAAGCAAAGTTTAATCATAATTTATCGCATGCAAAATAAAAGTTTGTTTTGACAATGTGTGTGTGTTATATATATATTTATTTGTTATGTTTATGCTATACACATTATACAAAATTACATTGATATTTGAATTAATATATAATTTGTATCATAAACATACACACACATATATATACACTCACCGGCCACTTTATTAGGTACACCTTACTAGTACTGGGTTGGACCCCCTTTTGCCTTCAGACCTGCCTTAATCCTACAAGGCATAGATTCAACAAGGTACTGGAAATATTCCTCAGAGATTTTGGCACATATTGACATGATAGCAACACAGTCGCTGCAGATTTTTTAGCTGCACATCCCTGATGTGAATCTCCCGTTCCACCACATCCCAAATGTGCTCCATTGGATTAGAAATGATAACTGTGGAGGCCATTTTAAGTACAGTGAACTCATTGTCAGGTTCAAGAAACCAGTCTGAGATGATTGGCGCTTTATGACATGGCACGTTATCTTGCTGGAAGTAGCCATCAGAAGATGGGTACACTGTGGTCATAAAGGGATGAACATGGTGAGCAACAATACTCGGGTAGGCTCTGGCGTTGATATGATGCTCAATTGGTACTAATAGGCTTAAAGTGTGCCAGAAATGATCCCCCACACCATTACACCACCCCCAGCCTGAACCATTTGTACAAGGCAGGATGGATCCATGCTTTCATGTTGTTGACGCCAAATTCTGACCCTACTATCTGAATGTCACAGCAGAAATCGATACTCATAAGACCAGGCAACGTTTGTCTAATCTTCTATTGTCCAATTTTGGTGAGCCTGTGCAAATTACAGCCACAGTTTCCTTTTCTCAGCTGACAGGAGTGGCACCCGGTGTGGTCTTCTGCTGCTGTAGCCCATCCACCTCAAGGTTGGACGTGTTGTGTATTCAGAGATGCTCTTCTACATTTCGGTTGTAACTAGTTGCTGTTGCCTTTCTATCAGCTTAAACCAGTCTGGCCATTCTGGCTAATCACCGTCTGGCACCAACAACAATGCCACGTTCAAAATCACTTGAATCACCTTTCTTCCCCATTCTAATGCTCGGTTTAAACTGCAGCAGATCATCTTGACCATGTCTACATGCCTAAATGCATTGAGTTGCAACCATGTGATTGGCTGATTAGAAATTAGTGTTAACAAGCGGTTGGACAGGTGTACCTAATAAAGTGGCCAGTGAGTGTATATAAAAGTGTTAAGTAAAAGCAAAACTTTTATTTTGGATGCAATTCGTAGTGATTAATGTTTGCCCGGCACTATTGTTATTATTATTATTAAAAATGTAGTGTCTGGTTTGCAGTGTACTCAATTTTTTTTTGCCTGTTTTAAAAAAAATAATTAATCTAGTCAAACTGGAGTTTCTGATTTAAATGCAAAATTTATGAGAATATTAAAACTAATCATGCAACATGATTTAATAAAGCTTCGATTTATTAGTATCTGCATCATTATGTAACACAGTTATCTAAATGTCATAATTGGCTACGCCTGTTTGTAACCCAAAAGTCATTTGCTCTGCTCTTGGTATAGACTATGCTGGTCAAGAACTTGTGACTTGAAAAAGTTGCATCTATTACTAGGATTGCCCTGTTACCACATCTGTACACTTATATATTTCAACCTTATATTATGTATGCATTTAAAGATGCATATGTCTGTGTGCCTGTGCGTGTGTTTGTTTCTCACAGTTGTGATAGTATTAAGCGCAGTATCAGCACCAACGCTGAAGTCTGATCCAGGAACATTATTAGACACAGTTGCTGGAATAACAACCAGAGGAATACACAACTCCTCGTATTTTTCTCTGGCAGTCACTAATTCCAAGCCTCCAACAAAGGCCTACACAAAAGAGAAAGACACAGTGTGTGAAAAGTAAACAGCATGGTGAGGCAGCAGGTATACAGCTAAAAAATGAAAATATTTGATGTTCCACACTGGCAGAAGAGTTTGAGATTTTCTTACTTCAAATCCTCCAATGATGACCAGGGCATGGATGTTAAACTTGGCTATATTCAGGCTGATTTCTTCAATCATATTAGCCGGCAGTGACCTACAGGGATAGATGAAGAAAAAGGAGAAGCAAAAACAGCGGGTCTCATTTACTAATATTTATAAATGTATTTTTAATATTTATACACACATTTGAACTTCTCTTGAAAACTTTTATATTCACAACACATGCGTACGCACATGAGTTTGTTCTTAAACCTGTTCTTCTGTCAGTGAATTGTTCAGAGTACATTAAATCAAATTAGAACTAAGATGACACAATTATTTTTCATTCACCCTGTAAATGACATATCTAATTACTGTATATGGTTCTTTCTACAGGTTTATAAGGCCCCAGACATAAATGAAAATCACGTAAATGTGGTTTATGTTGTTCTTGAATATTTTTGTAGATAAAGTTTAAATATTAGTATGTAAGTTTTGATGAATCCTGATTTATTCATGTACCAGTCGATTCGAATGTTATCACTAGATTGAATGGGCTTTATCAGTGGTTATCAGCTGATAGATATGGGCCAGTATGGACTACCCCTACCCCAACCCTAAACCCAATCGTCAAAGTAATGTAAAAACATCTGGAGTTTTCTCTATTAGTATAGTGAATTAACCATGTGGATAGATGATAACAGCCTTCTGAGCTAGTAGATGCAGAAGGCCCCTTATCTAGAAGGCCCATATCTATCAGCTGATAACCACTGATAATGCCCATTCAATCGACTGATAACATTCGAATGTTAAGTCATAATATACTCGCATTTCATACTTGAGAATTTACATTTAGTTAAACATATTTATGAATGCAAAAAAATAAAGAATAATAAAAAAAACTTTTTCATGACCTAAAATCTGAAAACAGTTCAATTAAAATGTATATATTTTAATAGCAATGTCACTTTAATGTATTTAAATTTATACAACAGTTCTGTCTGGTTCTTGAATTGGATTGGCTGTAAGATTTTCTGCAAAGAACAGCACTCGTACCGCCTATTCACCCTTCACCCTTGTGCATTACTCTGACCGCATTCAGCAACAAGCAGAGGACACTCTGGACAAATATTGCTGCTGTTGTACAACATAATGTACTTTTGAGGCTTTTTTTTAGGTGAGAAGGTAGTTGCAGTTTAAGCAGTTTATTTATAATGATGAGTGCCTATTTTAAAATATTTATAATTTTGGAGCATAGGATTCAGTGCATTGGCCGCCATCAGCCTGTCTGAGCAAACCAAAAAGAAAGTGATGGCTGACGTTCCGCCACAAGCTGGCGAAAGTGACTAGAGCATAATAAGTGCTTAGGGAAGAAAAACTTAATTTTTTCAGTGTAAGTTTCAAACTATAGCTGAAAAAATTATTATAAATCAGGTAAGTGACATTCTGAGTCGATCTCTCTGTCTTTTGTATTTTGTAGTGCTACATTTATGCCACATAAACTGGTAGTGTTTGCTTTGCTCTGGCCTTTTTTAGGGTTAATTATTGTGAAATACCCATTTCATCAGAGAAATACTGGGAAATCTCTGTAGATTGATGGCATTTCATGCAGTTCAGCCTTATGAGCAAAAATTTGACCTGCGTACTAGAGTCAATGCACACTTCCCACCAGTGTTGATATAGAGCCATATCGAACTGCTACTTGTGTGATATTGCTCATGTAAGATAAATCACTGAGTGTGTCTGTGAAGTTTAAGCTCTTACAATGCTTTCAAACGTTTGTGTGTCTCTTTATATGCAAATCAAGTGCTGCTCCCCACCCCCTTTTCTAGAAGAGGGCAGTACCTTTACAGTTTGTGCTTTGTATACCCAGACAAAATAATCTACATGCATTCTAAAGCCCCCAGATCAACGGTTTTCTGAGCAAACAGAAACATAGCTCGCATGCAGAATGTCAGTTGTCAGATGGCTCATTAGATTCAAAACAAAAATAAAGTTGAAAAGGTGATGTCAAAAGCACATAAAAACAAAAGTTCAAACAGTTATGGTTTTATCTGTGAAAGTAAACTGCTAGGGAAGAAATTGCTTGTTTATCAATAAATCAGATACGCAAAACTCCCTTTTAAGTAGACTTTTTTCATGCTCAAACAGCAACAAAAAGCACTAGTGAATGTTGAAAATGTAAAAACAGCAGGCCTTGATGCACTCCTGCCAAATAATTCTTATATTTAAAAACAATAAAACTTTCTTACTGAACCCAAACTTTAAACACTATTTTAAAACAGTAAAATTTACAGTAAATGAGTATTTTTGTTGTACCTCTTGGTTCCTAAAATAGATCCACCTTTGCCCGTCCAGCCTCCCACATAACCCCATGCCATTGGTTCAATCTGATAGGTGCGAGAAAAAAAGATTAATACAAATTGAATGGATTTCTTCATGTGAACTCATCGATTCCTTCTGTATGTCGAATACTTTACAGTTCCATTTGCGAGTCCCTCGAAGCCGTCATGAACAGCCAGCATGTTGTGTCCTTGAAGGATGCCGATCCTGACTGCTGAACGGACTGCTGCGTTCATTCCTGCACAGGGAGCTCCCACATTCAGAATAGCTATGTTTATATTACTCTAGAGAAAAACACAAAGACTGAATGAAAATATACAGACGCTTTATATTAGATCTTTCAAATATTTTTAAAAGAGGACTTTTTCTGCTCACTAAGGCTGCATTTATTTGATTACATTTATGAGATTTGCATCATAAGTCATAAACTCAGTATTTAGTTTCACATGATCCTGAGAATAATTGCTAACATGATGATTCATTTATATAAATTTGAATGAATAAAGGCTCAGCATTGAGCAAATGTCTGTTCACCAATAATAATAATAGATCATATATAAGGATTGTAGTAATGATGCTAAAAAAAAACATATTTCAACTCCAAGAGCAAACTGCATTTTAAATTCTATTAGAAATAAAGACTCTTATTTTAAAATTAAATAATATTTCAAAATATTATTGGATTTATCATATATATTTTTTAATTATATTATATTTTTATTTGACCTTAAAGCAACACAGAGCAATACAATAAGCAACAACAACTATAAAGACAAAAAGGGAAAGGCAAACAAAACAAACAAAACAAAACAAAAAAATTAAAACATTGTTACATCAGTTCCTCCAGTTTATACATAGGTTAACAATGTTACACAGATATTTTTATGCCAGTGGGCACAGGCAATATGGCGATCTTGCAAACAATGACAGTGTCATCCTTTTAAACTGTTATCCTTTACATTTGACAGATAATTAAAAAAAGGTTTCTGGGTGGCTTTGAAGCCAGCAATGCTATCAGAAAGATTTTGTCTAAGTCTCTCTAAATGTAAAATGCTAGAGAATTAAGAAAGCCAGGATTTAAAAAGTGGTTTTGATGCCTTTTTCAATAGACAAAGCCACCATACTATATTGGACAGCTTTTTAATTTGATGACTGAACCCATGAAGTGAGTCAGACCAATCAAAATCAATGATTGCTGAATCAGAGGGGAGGTCACGAGAATAAGCCTTAGAATCGGAAAATTTTGCTCTAAAACCCATAGTTTTGGGCATGACCAAAAAAGATGTCCCAAGGAGCCCTTCTCAGATTTTTTTACATTACATTTGTTACATTGATTGAATGAATTTATTAAGCTTAACCATAGAATAATGAAGCCGATGTACTAACTTATATTGGATTAGTTGGTGTCTTGAGTTAATAGAACATGTATTTATGACCTAGATACACTTTTTCCAGTCCTCATGGGTAATCTGAATGCCTAAAACTTTCTCCCAGGAATCTTTCAAAGAAAAGTAGATATATCGAACTGACAAGTAAAATCATATTTATCATATTTTTAACGGTGAACTATTTTTCAGTACATTTAAAGAAATAATTTGGGCTAAACCTAAACTGGGTGGCACGATGGCTCTGGTTAGCACTCTCATATCACAGCAAGAAGGACGCTGGATCAAGTCCCGGCTGGGCCAGTTGGCATTTCTGTGTGGAGTTTGCATGTTCTTTTCGTGTTGGCGTGGGTTTCCTCCGGGTGCTCCGGTTTCCCCCACAGTTCATAGACATGCAGTATAGGTGAATTGGAATAATTAAATTGGCCATAGTGTATGAGTGAGTGAGTGTGTATGGGTGTTACACAGTAATGGGTTGTGGCTAGAAAGGTATTCGGTGCGTAAAAAATTTGCTGGTTAAACTGGCGGTTCATTCCACTGTGGCAACCCCTAATAAATAAAGGACTTAGTCGAAGGAAAATGAATGAATAAACCTAAACTTTCTGTATCTTGACAAATTTTATATAGAATGCATATATCATCATGCATCATTTTCAAGTATGAATTTAAAAACTTGGATGAGAGTTGATGGGTTAAACAATTGAATGCAAGCTAGGTTACTGGAAACACAAAAATAAGAACAAAATTAAACATTTCCAAACTTTTGACATATCATGTGAGTCTAAAAAAAGGCTTTAACTGAAAGGCTGAATGATACAAACCTTCACATCTGGGGCCGTCACATGGGCTAAGAGTTTATATGTGTTCCAATTGTTCTCAAAACTCCTGCAAAGGAGAATTAGCAGATCAATTACGCGTTTAGTTAGTAGCGTCTAAAAGAGAAAGTCAATGATAAAGAGCTTACTTTCCCCTGAGCTTAATAGCTTCCTCAAATCTGCCCTCGGCCATGGCTTTGGTCACCTCTTTTGTCTAAAAAAAGGCACGAGAAGATGTATTACAAGTTAACTAATTTATTAAGAGTGCAAATCAACAAACCAAACATTTGCATCAATATGTCTCAGCAACAAAAATTAAAAAAACTAATTCATTAACTGTGATGTAAAATTGCACTTCCATTAAAAGAGCTTTGGAAACGTAAGATTGTTTTTAAAAGGAAGCAACACTTGAGTCAAAATGATCTGTTGTAGAATAAAAGCTGTTCTCTTGGTCCCAATATTTGGTGTTTTGAACTACATGATAACAATAATTGAATAAAAAGATGAATTGTTGGATGTGACACAGTCATTGTGTTTATTTTGTAGGGCAAAATACACTTGCTGTTATTACACTGTTAGACTTTGCCTCATTTTCACAGTTATTTACTGCAAAAACGCTCAGTAAAATACCACATATATACTTTCCAGTTCACTACAGTAATATGGAGCAATTTTAAAACTTTTAAAGTAACTTACTGCATATGAGGGAATTTGAGGTATTCTACTGTAATCAAACGTAAAATGTAAATAAAAAACAGTTAAAGTACTGTAAAAATTGTCATACTGTAAAATTAAAATGTGGTAAATGCCATTTCATCATAAAAAGAAGTTGCTGTCTATTTTACTTTAAAAAATTAAATTGCAGTAGGGCTCTGCTACTGTAAAACACATTTACAGGTAAGGTACTGTAAAGAGACAGTTGCGGTAAATTGCTGGCAACAGTGTACCGCAAAAATACAATAAAATGTCCAACAGGGTAAGATGGGAAGCTATTTTAGGGATACTAGTTATTTTTAATTGTAATAAAACTTCACAACATTGTTTTTTACTCTCATTTTTATTATATGAGTGCATGCTTTGTCAGCAAAAGATGTTTTAATTTAAAATGAATATTAAATTAAAACATTTTAACTTTATTAATATTTTCATAAAAGTACACTTTTAGGTCAACATGTAAAATACTTTTTACTTTTAACAAAAAACATTTATTAATCTTCATTAAAAATCCTTTCAACAATAACCAATTCAAACTTTTAATATCAGCAATGTATTCACCAATATTATTTAATATAACCAAGCCAACGTCAATTAACAAACAGCTGTAAATTAAAAAAAAAAAAAAACATGATCCTTATTTCCTTTCACTTTTTCTTGTTCACTCAACTTTTGAAAATATCAGCTGCACTGACCTAAAAACGTTTTGTCAGTAATACAAAAACATTTAGCTGGGTAACATTAGATTATTAGTTTTCTGGAGAGGTCAACTACTCTGTAACAAAACTTTTTAAGTTGTGCCAACTTAATATTTTTGTCTGCAGAACTGGAATGCCTGAAGTTGAGCAAGAAAAAAAAACATAATCCTTATTTTCTTTGGTTTATTCTCATGTTCTCAACATTTCGTTTTACCTTAAATTGATAGGACAGTAGAGAGTATAGACAAGAAAGTTTGGGGAGAGAAGAGAGGGGAAGGTTCGGCATAGGATCTCGAGGTGGGAATCAAACTTAGGTCGCCATGAACAGCAAAGTGCCATGTGTTGACGCACTAACTACTACACTATTGGCACTAATGTGAACTTTTGAAAACATTAGTTGGTTGTACTGACCTAAAATGTCTGAAGTTGAGTGAACAAAAAAACTCATTTGGAAATTCGTACTAAGAAATAACACATCATCAGAACAAATAAACAATTGAGAAAACTAAAACAAAGACAAACGTTGACAAAACAATTATTAGACACAGAATTAGAAACAGGACAGAAGGCAAAACACTAATAACAGTAAACAAGACAAGGATCAAAACATGGCAGGACAAACCGGAAAAAACGCTTTGTATTCACATGTGAAGCATGCCTTCTTGTTTTTTCAATTGAATTGTTTGTTCTGATAATGTATTAAGTTTTTTTGTTTACTCAATTTCAGACATTTTAGGTCTGTTTTCAAAAGTTAAGTACAAGTCAGCATTTATGGTGTAGTGGTTAGTGCGTCGACACATGGCACTCTGGTGTTTATGACAACCCGAGTTCAATTCTTGCCTCAGATCCTATGCCGATCCTTCCCCTGTCTCCCCACTCTTTCCTGTCTATACTCTCTACTGTCATATCAATTAAAGGTGGAAAAAATGTCGAGTTCACAGGAACAAAAACTAAAGGAAATAAGAATTTTTTTGTTGTTGCTGTTCACTCAACTGCAGGTTCATTCCAGTTCTGGAGACAAAAAATGTTAAGTTGGCACAACTGTTTTGTTACAGAGTGGTTGACCTCTCCAGAAAACTAATAATCTTATGTTAACCCAACTAAATGTTTTTTTATATTATTGACAAATACTTTTAGGTCAGTGCAGCTGATGTTTTTAAAAAATGAGTGAACAAGAAAAAGTGAAAGGAAATAAGGATTTTTTTTTTTACTGAATTTTATTTGCAAGCTTATTAATAATTGTTTAACAATACTGTACCACATAAATTACTGGTACTTAATGCATTGACTAATGTAACTACAGAGGAATGTATGTGTATTCATTATAAACACAGTATTATACAATATAAAAAAATTATTACACAAATAAAAAAACAATACTTTCATATACTTTTCTTAATTGGCAAGCAGGACATTTTATTTGTGTTGAATTTGATTGAGATTACCACATCAAAACATGTCAAAATGTAAAACAGTTCTGCAGCAGAGTAAAGCTGTGTGTGTATAGTTCAAATCTTTATTAGCCCCCCGCATACTTTTCCATAATTTCCGTTAAACAGAAAGAAGATCACATTCAACACTTTTCTAAACAAAATAGATTTATTAACTCATTTCTAATAACAGATTTATTTTTATTGTTGCCATGATGACAGCACATATAATTTTACTTGATATTTTTCAAGATACTAGTATTCAGCTTAAAGGGATATTTAAAGGTTTAACTAGGTTAATTAGGCAAGTTAGAGTAATTAGGTATGTCATTAAATAACAGTGGTTTGTTCTGTAGACAAGCAAAGCAAAATATTGCTTAAGAAGGTTAAAGATATTGAAAGACTTAGTTGAACACCTTAAAATTTATTTAAAAAATTAAAAACTGCTTTTATTCTAGCTGAAATAAAACAAATAAGACTTTCTCCAGAAGAAAAAATATTATAAGAAATGCTGTGAAAAATTCTGTGTTCTGTTAAACATCATTTGGAAATATTTGAAAAAGAAATAAATTCACAGGGAGGCTAATATTTTTGACTTCAACTGTATGTGTCTCCTCACCACTTGCACACACTCCATGAGGGGCAGACGAACAGCCATGTTTCCAGACAGACTGACCACACAGGCAGGGGTGTCAGGAGTGGCTTCCAGGAGCGCCATCACAGCCTCCACACCCATCCTGCTGCCCTGAGAACAACACAGAGCCGTTTACATCTAAAATTGTATACAGTACATACAGCCGCCCATTGACCCTTCCCTCATTAGAAAGTGGTCAAAAGTGAGACATTTAAATAGAAAATCTAAAAGCTAATGTATCACTCTTGTGATCTGATCCAACAAAACAGAGACAGCGAGTGGAAGATGTTACTGAAACCATATTACAGATTCATCAAATAAACAAAAAATACAAAAAAATAAAAATTCACATCATACCAATATTCTGTCGAAGGCTGAAGGTGTTCCTCCTCTCTGCACGTGGCCCAAAATAGTGGCCCGAGTGTCAAAACCAAGCTTCTTAGTCACCAGCTAAACAAACACAAATAGCACACTAAGATTCTGTGAATAAAACTAATCATTACAGCCTTTTTTTTGCATCTCACGTTCTTGATAATGTCACAGGTGATGGGTTTGCCGTGTCGATCCAAAGCTCCTTCGGCCACAATGATGACATTCAAACGATTGCCAATGCTTCTTTGCTGGACAATGGAGAGAATAATTATATCAGACAGATCATAATGTTGATTATGGTGATAAATAAGGTTGATGTAATGTGTGTAGATGTTACGTAAGTGAGTCTCCTGCACAGATGGTCCTCCCATCCTTCATCTGGGGGCATTTCGGGGATAAATACCCAGTCAGCACCACATGAAAGGGCAGTGACTAAGGCCAAATACCTGTAAACACATGTAAACATTTGCATACACTCTTAAAAGAGTGAAAATAAACACTGGATTATGCTAACCAGGATTATTATACATTGAAAAAAAAACTACCGCAAAGACATTATCCAGTAATTATAACCCGTAAACACAATGCAACAAAGTAAAAATTTTAAAGTGACCTTTTATGCAAAAATCACTTTTATAAGGCATTTACACACCTAGTTAGTTGTGTGGCAAAAGTGTGTGAAAATAGCCAGCCTCTAAAGGTAAACATTATTTTTAATAATAACACTTGATATAAACAGTCTGCAGAAAGACTTTGATTGACATTCTCCCTTCATACATGGCATCAGAGGGGAAAAGCCCCGCCCATTAGTAATGATCTCTCACTCATTAGCATAAACAGCCCTGAGTAAGAAGCAGCCATTTAGAGTTTTGGCACCGTACCTGCTTAAGATTATGTCAGCCACTAAGACATTTTGCCAATTTTAGTTTTAACAGAGGCATTTGAAGCAACTCCTTTAAAGCTCCTCCCTCTTTTGAATACAGTACAGTCTGATTTGCATTTAAAGACGTAATTTCGTTGCATTTATCAGAGACTTTCCTTTAAAGTACTATAGAACATTGTGCTTGTTTTCATAGATTTAAAAAAATTGTTACAGCACTTAATTAAAAAAATAAAACTGCTTAAACGTTTAAAAATTATATTTTTACATTTTTTGCCGAATAAGCATTTCTCAGGATTGCTTTCTTTAATTTTATATACTTAATTTTAAATAAAACTTAAATAAAAACTACACTCCCTCACAAAAGTCTTGTCGCCTAATCCAAGCAAAGGCCTCTAGATTACGCTTATTTTGCCAAAATAAAATATGATCATGCCATCCATACATCTCTGCAATGACTCAAATAACTTATTAATAAAGTCATATGGAATGGCAAAGAAAGCGTTCTTGCAGGACTCCCAGAGTTCATCAAGATTCTGTGGATTCATCTTCAATGCCTCCTCCATCATCTTACCCCAGATATGCTCAATAATGTTCATGTCTGGTGACTGGGCTGGCCAATCCTGGAGCACCTTGACCTTTTTTGCTTTCAGGAACTTTGATGAACTTTGACTTTTTTTGGAGACTGAAGTATGAGAAGGAGCACTTTCCTGCTGAAGAATTTGCCCTCTCCTGTGGTTTGTGATGTAATGTGCAGCACAAATTTCTTGATACCTCAGGCTGTTGATGT